CCAAGGGCGTCCTCCATTTTGAAGGACAAAAATCATAAAGCACGTATCGTCCAGGCAACTGCCTCTATTAGCTGCAAGCTGCCAAAAACCCTGACGCTGTGCAGGTTGCACACATTGACATGATTTTGAAGGCTGCTGGAGAGCTGTAACACTTATACTGCCTTTGCCTCTGTCTATGAGGTCAGTGGCATTGGGACACTGAACTGCAGAAGTACTCTCTCAGTAAAAGCATTCCTGTAAACCGTTCGCAAAGCGTCCTCAAAGTTGAAATACAAATCCCAGAGCGGGAAGGCACCTCAGCCAGCTGTAGCATGCCACTGCCACAAAAACACACCCGGACTTGAGAATGGAGTGTAAGTCCTCTGCGCCAGTCCTGCCCGACGGTCTCCACAGCTTTTTCAAAAACTTTGCGGATGGACTCCTGGCATGTCTTCGAAGATAATGCAGCACAACACATCGTAAGTACAGTGACCAATCCAAAGCAATGTGTAGTTGCCTGTGGCTGTGAGACGCACCCTTGGCAGATGTAACCTATAGCTGCGGTTTCGAGTTTCCTCTTCTGCTTCATTGACAGAAGAGACGGCTTCGCAGTACAGAACCTTAGGCTAACGTCTACACGCGGTCTATATCTCCCGGACTTGCAGCTAGCTGGAAGCAAGGATGCTTGAGCTCCGTGCCCATAGGTCAACGCACGCCGGCACTATGCCCAGAGCTCTCTCATACACCTGCAGCCCGCTGGCACGCCCACCTTGCAAACAGGATAGTCAGCCTAACTCTTTCTACAGCCGCGTCGCTGCAAAGTACCAGGTGGTTTGAGGCACTGGATTGCACCGCAGCGTGCTCTGGACGCTGCGCTGAGTGGAAGCTACACTTGTCGGACACTAAGTAAGCATTGATGAAGGCGCATCATCTCCTACGTACTGGTAAAACAAAATGTGTCCAGGTACATCTTCTACGGTTCGCTTGCAATGAAGGCCGGTCTAACCTTCATGCGTACATTACACACTTTGCATCATTGCAGGGAACGACTCTCCATGACTGTCTCCAACAGACTTGGTGGCTCCAACGACTTGTAAAAATCTTGTGAGGATTGTGCCAGTTCACGGTTCTTTCTCAGCGATGCATTTGACCGACTTGCCATCTGGTGCCTCCTTTGAAGCAATAGCACCGTCTTCTGACGGCTGGCACTGCGCATCCTTTCAGTCATCAACCCATCTTGCCCTCCAGATTCTCTGAGTTCAAGAATCCGTCCAGGTCTCGGAGAAGCACCTGCCAAAATCTGCCAAACTTGCAAGTTGCAAACCGTCACTCACCGCAGCTCTCCAGGCAGCCAAGGTGCCACAACTGCAAGCAAGGCAATGAGGATGCTTCCAGTCCTGAAGCCGTTATTAGGCTGAGAACATTCCCTGCATAAACCGATGACGGGGTCTAAACACAGTCGTATGCTCTAACTGACGGAGCCGGGAGTCAAGGCCAACAATCCGAAGGGCCCATCAACACGGACACCCACCAGGGCAAGCAGAATCTCCAGGAAGCGCTTGGGCCTTACAGCTCTACCAGATGCTGCTGAATCAGCACACTCTGCAAGCCTAAGTTTTATTGATGGCCAAATGGCATGTACTCAAAGGCATGAAGAAGGATCGCTGCAACGACCCAGGCGCTCCCCAGCGCTCCGCGTGTCACAGAGCGGCCAGCACGTGCCCGCTCAAGCCTCAAAAATGACTTTGGAATCTGCCAGAGAAGTACGTGAAGTGGCGTGTCTGTGAAGCCCTTTCTTAAAATCTCTTTCGCCTTTCCCTGGGGAACCAACCCCTTAAAACATCTTTTTCTGTGTGCCATGGCCCCTTTCCTCTGATTGCCATGGGAAACTTATCACGCCCGCTGACTGCAATGCTAACTCTTTGGACTGCAGCGGCAGCATCAGTCCCCAAATTTGGTCTGGCGTTCCATTGTGGTCCCGAATTAAACGTGGTGGAACTGAACGGAGAAGCCGATGCAGTTGATGACGCTGGCCTTTATTGGCCCATGGCATGCCGTGGGCAGTATGATCGGGCTGGGATCACCCAGCTTTAAAGCGGAGACCCGACATACCTGCTGCTTGGCTGCCCGCTGCTAACCCCCGAGGCCAGCAAAACCCCACCAACACCCCCAGCAGGCTTCAACATTGCGAGCTGGAGCCTAATTTCCACGTTCCGCCTTTTTTGTTCTCCATCCGTTTGGGTGCATGCGGCGGCGATCTAGACTCTTCTGACCATTGGGAGACCACCACCAATGCCGCCTGCTGCCGCTACCCATATGCGCAGGGAGTGTATGGCCCACCTGTGATAGCTGGGGCCCAGTTCTGCAGTATCCAAATCAATTAAGCAAACGCTTGATGCAGGCCTTCGTCATTACTAGACCGCTCTATTCAGCGGCCAAGTCTCATTTGTAAAGCAGCTCGCATCTGAGCACGCGCCTTTGTTCCAACTTCCTGACACAAGTTGGTGGTTGTAAAATCTTGGATGCATGAGACATGCTTAACACAATGGCCTCAGCCCCAACACTGCGAAGTTGATGGAGTGCTGCATGAAAGTTGTTGTCGCCTCTGATGAGACACGACTCTTCACAGTGCTTGATTGACCTGGATGGGTTCTGCCATTTAACGGCTTGGAAACCGGCATGCCACAAGTGCTGCGCAACACGTGTCCAGCTCACACCCCGTGACCTGATCACGGCAATTCGATGCAACATGCTTGTGGGAATGTGGACTCTTCAGCCTCTGCAAGTTTCAGGACGACACCAGGCTGAGGTTCATCCTCCTCCTCGCTCAGTCAATGATTGCAGACATGCTGCAGAACTGCAGCCCCAAAAACTTGCCAGTTGGGAACAGATACAGGTTCCCCATGGTTCTTGCCTGGAGAAATAATGCTTGAGGTGGAGACGTTAGCTTGAAGCTCATGTTGTCAGACTAGGAGTAAGATGTGAAAGGCGCACAAGCCAAGAACAGAAAGGAGTTGACAGCGACGTCTTCTCGCCGCGGACATCTTTGTTCAAGCTTTGTGTACAGGGGTCCCTGCTGGTGCTTGCCACACTCGCAACCCGCAGTACTAAGGAACGAGCCGACAAAACAAAGAGCATCCTCTGCGCAGTTGCAATACAGGGTCCTTTGGCTCCAGAAGGGCTGCTGACTCCTGCGTTTTTGATCTCCCAACTGCTCCCTTCCCAGGCTTCCTTCCGTACCGACAGTTGCACGTCTTGCACCTGCAGAGGTGCCCAGTCTCGGCGGGGAGCCGTGCTTGCGCTGCTGGCTGACCAAGGCAATGCCTGCAGCAGACGCACAAACATGCTATAACATGAACTTAACTGCTTTAATCTATTTGCCATCATTGCTCAGTTTACATGTGGCTGCTGCTTCGGGCTGGCCGCAAAGGGCCGGCAAAATGTTAAAATGTTTTGCTCGAAGAGGGCTGCTGCTTCGGGAAAGAGACGAAGACACGATTGACGTCCTTGTGCTCCCAGCCTCATGGCCCATGCCTCTACGGCATCGGCGCCATGGTTGGATTGACCCTCAAAAGGTCGCGAGGCTGTGCGGGCTCCAGCAAGTTTCAAACGATGCCCCTGGAGTCTAGCTACTTCTTAGGCTTACACGATTTTACTATGGTCCATGACCAGAACTTCTGATAACTTCGCATGCCACCGAGCCAAAGCACAGGACATCTCGTGATGAGTAACATGTAATTAACAATAACATCAATGAGACCATGCTGCTGGTTCTCAGCACTGGGCACTCTTGGACCTGCAATTCAGCCAGCCTGCTGATCGCAATGTCTCCACACTTTCACAAAAATGCAGCAAGTGCCGTGTGCAGACTGCATAGTGAACCTCTTCCAGTATCCCCAACAGAGAGGAAATTCTGCAAGAAAAGCTTCATACCTGCAGCACATGGTCTTCAGACAGATGGCTTGACATTTGTTCGTTGGACTGAACGGCGCTTGGAGTCTCGCAAGCTTCGTCGCTCTTCGACGGATCCATGAGCTTCAACCTCTCAGGAAACGCTTGCTACAACCCAAGAGGCGGCAGCCGGCACTTTAACAGCTTCTGGGCCAGCAGCTTGCTTGATCAACGTCAGCCACTCATCGAAGCCACGAGGGCTTGCTGCAATAGATGAGCAAAGGTTCGCAACCTCCAGAAATGAAATATTGGCTTCGTCAGGGTTCTACATCTTCGGACCAGTTCCGACAAACTTATACGGCAACGGCGGGGCAGAGCCTCGCTTGTTTGCAAAGGTGCCGAGCTGAAGCATGGCATAGCCTTTGCCCCCAGCAGAGAGAGCTGATGCAAATGTTGCACTAGACAGATCACTACACTCAACGAACCCAATGCAGAAGAAGACTGTTGTGCTCAGGAATTGACTGGACTGTGCAAACCACAGGCTCTCTTGATGCCACGGCAGTCTTCATCGAAGTCGCCTTGGATTTGCTAAACACATACACCTGGACTTCGGATATGGTTTCTGCTCGCAATTAGCAGCGAACTAAGATTGCACCTTCTTCCAGGCACTTCTGGAAAGCGTCGGCATGCTCATCAGCGGTGCCAAACTGCACGCGGCATGCTTAGCTACGCTGAGCAGCAGCCATCTCTCGAAAGCAGAGACAAGAACAAGGCCTCAGAGTAATCATAACATGGCCTGACAGCAGGAGCCAAACTGGAAAAGCCAGTGCTCAGTGAAAAGCAAAAGGCTTATCTTGGATTGAAGAGCTGGCGATGGCTCTGTGCCCAGCTAGGATCTGCGATCAAGCCAAGTCATGTTTCCAAAAAAATAAAGCGCATCCCGCCTTCTCTCGTCGGAGCCAGGCCCCATTTGCACAAGTGCAGCCCGAGGTGTGCCCCCAACACACAGTCTTCTAAGTAGGCAGGACTGCAAGTAAGAGCCCTTGAGACGAAACTGCACGTCCAAGGTCAGGAAACTGGTGGTTAGAAGATGTTAAAAAGCTCTAGAGAAACTATCATCCAAGCAAGTCCTCTGCTGTTGGGAAGACACCTCAGCAGCTAGCTTGCATCCCTTTTACTTGAAAGCCTCCGCGGCCACAGCAGCCTTGCTGATACTTAAGATCTGTGCCATCTGTCGGAGACGCTGAACCTCAGATGCCATACCCGTGATCCCAAGTGTTAAGCAAGGTTTTCGATGCGCACCTCGTCCTCGTGTCCTGCCGATGTAGCTGCATCGCCACACACGCTGTCCTGTTTAAGTCAGGAAATGGAGAGCTGAAACTGGGTGTCGCGGCATTATGTGCATTGCAAGCACAGATTTACACGGAACTGTGACTGCTTGATCAGAACCTCTACTCCGGTTCCGACAGACACGAGGCTGTGCTGGCCTCAGTAAGAAATCCACAAGAAGCACTTCTTCCAGGGTTGTATTGCAGAGGGGCCGACCAACGGCATTGGAGTCTGAGGCAATCGAGGCAATGCTTGACGTCTCCAAACCGGCAGGGAGCCTTAAAAGGCTATTGATCGAATCGAAGCTGCGCTTTCAGGAGTCAAACATGGCTTGACACTCGAAGCTGAGAGCATCTGAGGCCTCTGCATGCCATCGACATCATTGGACTCAGACTCCTGCAACATCCCGCACAAGATGATAGTGAGCTTGTTACGAATCACAAATCCGCAAGGAACCGCCTGTCTCCGCGCGCGGTCATGTGTCGTCTTCCTTTCTTGCAGGTCTGTGCATAAGTCACGCTACGAACACCACGTACCACAAGAACTCGCTTCGAACTAAATCAAAACTTTGAAGAGATGGTGAGAGGTTTCAAGAGGGATTATTGTTTCTTTGAGCTTCATTCAGCTGAGGCAAGGACCGTGCCGAGGCTTTGGTGCCTGGCAAGGATACACAAGAAACCGAAGCGATGCCGAGGGCAAGGTGTCCGAAGCCCGAAGCACGCATAGCCATGAGGGAAACAGCTTGCCTCTAACAACATAACAACCATAGCTCAAATTGCATTTCAATTGGAAGGCTCGACCTTCGCCAGTCTGACGAGCACGTCCAGCACTTCCAGGTCTCAACAAAAATTAATGATGCTCGCACAGGATAGAGCATACAGAGCTTACCGGTGCGCACCTGTCTGGAACCGGAGGTTTAACTCTGGTCGCTGGAGAGTTGACGCCATCGCCCCTCCCGGCCTTAGGAAATTGCTTTACTGCACAAGACTGATCGCAATATGCATAGCTCGGGCCTTGGCTGGCACGCTCTGTGGTGCTGGCACTTTGCCTTGGGCAACTAAGCAGAGATGTACAATGATGTACAGTAGATGCGTATTTTGGCCAAACGAAGAGCACGTAGGGATCAGGCCTGGGCTTGGCTCACGGCGCGGTCCTTGTGCAGCGAGGACCAAAATCGTGGAGGGATTGGAGGGCTCCGTGTCAGAAGCAACTGCCGACTACGCTCTCTCACAAGGAATTTATCGCGAGCAGGATCGTGCAATTGTTTGGAGACCCGGTGCAATGCGAAGCTACAGTATGAGGGCGAAACTCCAAAACTGCGTAGGTCTGCAGGAAGTCTTCGACGGTCACGCCGATAAGCTGGGATCTAGAGAATGCATGCCAAGCTCCATCAATGGTTGATTTAGTGAGGCGCCCATATGCAAGGACGCGAGCCACCAACGTTCCAATCGAAAGCACGCGATGGTGGGGTCTGCAACCGAAGCAGAAACGACACATGCTTTGTTAACATGTCAGACATGGCCAAGCCATTCCAAACACCTGAACCCCTCTTTATTGCAGCTCACGAAACCACGCACATACTGTCGGAAACTGCGGCGTCGCCGTTTGACTCTGCCACTGTCCACACATGGCTCATGTGCGCAATGGACTCCCAATACAGCAAAATAAAATGCTGAGTCCTACGTGGCAAAAGCATGCTGTATCAGCTGCACCCTAGTTGGCAGATTTGGGCCTTGCTTTCGTAAGCGGGCTGATTGGGCAGAGATTCGTGCCAGAAGCCATAACTCAACATCGACGCCTTCTGAACCTTGTGACAACGGCCATCAACACAAGCCAGCAACGCATTCAGGTCTTCGAGACAACAAGCGTTCGCCAGCCGAGCAACAATCTCTCCCGCAGCGTTGTCTGCCCCATGGTTGGCTTGATACTGTCAACGCTCATGAGCATCATCCAGCTGCAGGCGGGAGCATACCACCCCCTCCAAGGTCTCACAAGTTTGTCTATGAACGTTAAGCAATCGATGCAAGCACAGCTGGGAGTCACTGCACAAACCGACGGCGCCTGTGGCGTACTGAAACAGCATCCGCATGACATACGCTGCGGCGAGAGGAACAACCATCTGCTCACTCCACCCCAAAGCAGCAAGACATCATATGGCCATATGGCTCGTGGCAACACTCCAAGCACACAACCTGAGGCGCCATTCACTGGAGTAAGGGCCACCAGATCCATCCGTCCAAAGTAAAACTGCGACGCATCCAAGCACTGAAAGCCTTCCCAAAGCTTCGTGGGCGTACAAATCGGCGGCTCACTCCAACTACACATGCTCAAAGCCCTACTCATGAATCTAGGCGGCGCGCTGGCTGGACTGGGCTGCCTTCCCAAAGCTCTTTCAGCTGCTGCACGGAGATCCTCACAAGTCAAACTTGAAACATCAGAGAGTAAATTCCCCCCTCTGGCTGGGAGCGCCTCCTCCTCCTGCTCCAGGCGCCGCAAGCGAGCCTGTGTCCCGCAAGTCAAGATGCATGTCCGGCCGGACGGCTTCCTTCATTGAATTGCCCTCTTACCAAGCCGCACAATGCAATGTGATCCTCCCTTCCAGAGCAAGCCATGGATAGGATCTGCAAGTGGCTTTTTGCTAAGCCTAGACAACAGGATAAGTGCAACATTAATTTGCTTCGTCCTGAAAAGCGTTCAGAGGCCCCCTCAAATAGTCTGGTCCGAGCAGGGCGTTCTCTGGCTTGCTGACCATGTGCAGACAAAGCCCTCAACAGCCTAAGGTATCTACATGCAGGCAGGACAGTTCTTGGTTTCATGCCGGAGGTGTTGAATGCAGATTTGCAGACATGTTGAGCAGAAGGCGCTTTGATTTTCTTTCCGCAATTTTTCCTTTCTAGGCACAGTGCAATTTTCCAGCTTCTGGCCTGTTCCAGACGTCTTCGGCGGTCGTCCTTCTCCTGAACACGCCATGGCTGAAGCTACAAAGGCTTAGAGGCCTAGGCCTAGAGGGTCTCACACCTGGTAGAGGCGAATGTGTACAGGTGCCTGCCGCGACGGATTAGCCAGCTTCTGCAACAGCTATGAAGTCAAGACCCCATGCCTCACGCTCACGGAAGGATGTATTTCGCCCAGAGCTGGAAGCCCGGAATGTCCCGGCACCCTGGCAAGTATGAGTCAATGCTAAGAATGTGTAATGAGCTCCAGGAAGGAGCACATCAGCGCCTGATGTTCGGTTGCAGGCCCTCATAGCTCAAACGACACTTGACAAAGTCCAAAATCTTCCATATCTCATTTGGGCACAGCACGGCCAGTATTTCTTGGAGCATCAGGCCTTCAGTAAATCTGAACCTCTGCTCTTTGAAAGTGTATGAGCCAAGTCCGAGAATGTGGCGTGGCTGAGCGTGGTTGCCTGGCAACTGAGCGCGCAGGCCTCGTGCAAGGCACTTTGCAGCTCAAATCAGACACAACTGCAGAACGGCATCCTTCTGGGGCCCAGCGGCAGCAAGCTTCTTGCAGAGGCGGTACCTGCCAGTGACGAAATCAGCAAAATAAAGTTGACCTGCAAGAAGTAAGTGCAGGACAGACAGGAGAGCAAGATAACACGGCAAGGATAGCAGATACTGCTGGAAAGCTGTCTCTACCTTGTGAAGGATCTGGGTCAGGCATGTGAGCATCAGTGGCTTAAAGTGAAGCAAGGACTGGCCCAGTAACTGTGGAGCTCTGAATGAACCGCAGTGAAACGCCTAAGCTTAAAGTGCACTTTGATTTTGATCGCTTCGACCCCAGCCAAAAGGCGTTCAGAGGTGGCCACCAGGGACACCACTATTGACATGAGCGTGGCGAAACGTGTGGTCCGACCAAATGTTCTGTTCTAGTGCTCCTGCACCTCTTCATTTCTGAGATAGCTCGTGGTTTTGCACGCGGGGCTCAGGCACTTTGCCGTTTTGATGTCCAATTGGGTCCTGCTTTACCATCGGACAGCAACAACCGGACTGAGAATCAGTCCCAACTGCGCCACTCCGAAAAGTCCCCTTCCTGAGCACGAGGAAGCCCTTGGGCCGTGCACTTGCGTCCTGGTCCCCTCTTGGACATTGGACCATCAAGTCTTGAAACAAATCCCTTCGTTCCAGATGCGCCCCGGCGATCGGCTTCCAGCGTTGTCCGTCTAGGCCAAAGTCCTGGGGCGTCTAGATCTGAACACCGAGAAGTCCGAGAACCAGCAATGTGTTTGTTCCCACCCTCGAAGCTTGGCCCAGATTGTTTCTGTTTTGCAAGTGTTCTGGTCGTTGCAGAGGTTCGCCTTGGGGTCCGAGTTCACTGCTGGTCGGTGGCAGCTTCCATCAGCTTCTCTCCAGCCTTCCCCCTGGCGTATCTGCGGCGTAATCCCCCCATGAGGGTAATTGATTGAGGGCTATGAGGGCTTGGCCAAGCAAGAAAACAGATGGGGACTGCGCCATCCACCCTGCTACATCTATCGAAAACACATGGGTTTGTTTCGCCCCTCGTGCTTGCCACCACAAGTCCATCACTGGAAGCTATTTTACCAAGCCTTGCAGCCGTGCTCCAACATTATTCACGCTTTACAACGACAGACATTATTCCCTGGAATTCAACTCATGCATGTTAAGATTGGCTATTTTGATGACATTGCCAACCCACAGAAACGTGCCACATGCTCACACTGCCTGCACCTGCGTGTTTATCTTGCCCTCCGTTCACCTGAAAGCTGTGAGATGCAATTGCTGAATGGATGAAAGCAGTGAGCAGTTCTAGGACGCGGGCGATTTCAGGCGCAGACGGCGAATGCTGCAACGTCCGTAGTGCAGGCACCTCCCAGCACATGTGCCTATTTAGAAGTAGCTCTTCGCTTATGCTGGCTTTTCATGGGTTATGCAGAACAGCAAAGGTGCAGGTTGCAAAGAACAAACGATCATCATTGAGTATCTCGAGCTTAGCTGGTATGCCAAGGAATCACTCACAAAACTTGCATCGCGGTTCGAAGCGTGCAGCAAAAAAAAGGTTCGACTCGAGACATCTGGACTGGATGCTGAGAGAACTCAATGCTGACTGGCTAGCATGCAAAGCCTAGTGCAAGCTTCTTGTATATGTGGCTTCGGGCCCTGTTGAAGCATGAAGGGGAGCTGCAAGCAGCCATGCGAGGCTTTTGGCTCTAGTTGCCTGTTTGGTTGCAGTTTCAAATGTTGAAATAGTCAACTAAAATGCCTTCTCTTGTCCTTTTTGCGTGACACACAACATCCCCGTCCGCTGCGGTGAGCATACTCCGAATGCCTTTCCTACCATGATCTCGAAAGACATCACCTCCTCTGCTTCACTTATTCATCTATAGCTTCGGACAAACTTACTTGTCTCACCCATTGGATGCAAAAACCCAAGGTTCTGTGGGGATTAAAAATGGCAACCTTAATGGGACCCTTGTAGCTCATGGGTGGCTACTTGGGGACTACCTAGGTATGTAGGGGGTATATAAGCAGCACATATGGTGTATGTAGCGTAGTGAGATTATGGATCCCCATGATCGCGTCTAAAAACCCTGGAGGGTTGACCAAAATGATTGTTGGTCACAACGCGATTATCAATGCTCCATTTGTTTATACGACTTCTCTGGGCAGATTGACACCACTACAAGCGGCTCATTCTGCCCAGACAAGGCCATCCGTTCAACGAAGATCTTACCTGAGGGGAGTTGAAGACCTCTGAAGCACAGAACGACACCAAACCAGACTCCCTGTGTGATCGACCACGGCTGTACACGTCATACCAAGTCCTTGCTCTTTGTGGCAAGCTTGAATTCATCTACACCTGATCTGCCTCCATGCATCATAGGCCACGCATGGCCACATCACATGCATCCCGCCCGGTAGAAGTCTTGAAGGAAAGAAGACCTCGATGTTGTCAAGCAGGCCTCAAGGTGCGTCTGCAGGAGTTGTCTGGTGTTGCTATCGAGGAAAAGTCGTCTGTTTGCGGAAAAGTCGGGAAATCTTTACATGTTGTGTGTGCGTCTTTTCCGCGTCAGGCTAAGGCCTAAGGCTACACATGCTACACCAGATGCACAGCAGTGTTTTCCTGTTTCGCGTGTTCGCGGAGCGGGTTTGGTCAGTGATCTCACCAGAATGTATGGGGGCGCAAGCGCGGCCAGGGTCGCAGTTTGTTTGCCAAGGGCTTTTACAGGCCCAGACTTGGCTGGACTGGCGGCCGCCAGCAGAAAGCAGCACAGCTTGGTGCAACAAAACTGCGTGCTGATCCGTTGGCCGAATGCACTACAAACAAAAAAGCAGCTTCCCTTCGATAGGTGCGTAGATCGCATATCATTCAATCTGTGAAAACACATGCGTGACGTACAGTTCGCGGTCACAGCTTAGTGCGCTCGTGTGCCTTTCACTCTGGTTACTCGAGCAAGTAATTGACATCTCACAGGTTCCACAAAGACTTCAGAGATAGCGTTGAGATTGGTGCAGGGCATGTTTGTAAACGCTACTCAGTCAAAGAAAGGATCCTGTCTAGAAAGCACACCAGACCCAGGCCCCCAGGCCTGGCTTGGTGTTCCGATCCCTCCTTGAAGGTAGGTGGCATACGTCGGATCATTTTGGAGGCTGACAGAGATGTTGATTTCTGCCCACTGTTGGCACATAGGATGCTCTTCCTTTCCCAATATCATTTGCCAACTTGCAACTGCTGTAGCCTGATCCCAGTATCTGAGACCTGACCATTCTTCATTTTGGGATGGAGCCCAATTCAAGACAATGTCGCGCAGCAAATCATTTGCGCAGTTCTTCGGTGTATATGTTTCTGGATCGCGTGGATCAACCTGCAGAAGCTGGAATGCATTGTCCGGAATAAGCACAGTCGCAAGACCAAATGCCCATACCTGTGCTGCAGAAACCGCATCCAGGAAAATGTTCCAAGAAGCACTCGCTGGCTTCTTGTCAGTGCTCCATGGAAAGCCATTCTCCGATCCCCGCAACGCTGGACCTTGCAGGGCTGTGGCATAGGCTGTATTGGCTTCTTTGGTTTGAACTCCTGCCTGAATGAATCTGGAGCTGGTCCAGTCCTTTCACACGGCCGCCCTGCACATACAAGGCTTTCACTTTCGAACGGAAAAGCGCGGGGCTCTGGTTGCTGTGCAGTGCTGCTGCGAGGTTCGTGTAGGGACCCAGCTCAAGGATGTGCACACTGTTGAGCTCTGCATCTTCCAGAATCTGAAGTATCAACTGCGGCGCGCTCTGCCATGCCGCAGGCTTTGGACTCGGCTCTGTCGCAACCCATTTTTTCAGATAATGGTTAGAAGCTTCCGTCCATTCCTGGGGAGGCAGTCCTCTGGGGTAGTCGAGATTCAGCCGCGTTGAGCTCATATACCCTTCTTGAAATGCAACCGGAATATCGCTTCGGTTGAGCTTGTGTAAAAGTCGCAGAGCGCTGTCCACTCCGGCCCACCTTTGCTGGAATCCACGTAACTTGGATTCAAAAGAGTGCCCAACAGCGCCAGCGAAACAGCTGCTGGGCATCTTGAAGAGGGCCAACATTAAGTGGGTCTGATTGAAAACCACATCAAGGTTTGCTCCCATCACTTACAAGGAGTTGTGGTGTTGTCGTCTTTGCTTGCTCTGCCGCTATTCCAAGCCAAGTGCATGGAGCCTGCGTCAATTGTGATTAGCACTCACAGGAACATGATGCAAGCCCAAATGACCAAATAACTGGCAATGGATTCCTCCCATCTTCCTAGTGACGAGTACAATTTCTTCCATTCTCTTATTCAAGCAGCAGCCTCATCTTCATTACTGTTGGCAAGCCAGGTGCAGAAAAGTGTCTGTGCAGAAAACCCAGTGGCGCTGACGGTGATACCCTTGATGTCTGCACCATTTCGCAGCAAGTACACAAGCGCGGCCATGTCATCCACATTCATGTCGGTATCAACGATAAGGGGCGCCGTCGCGATACTCTGCGTCAGGACGCACGCCGCCAGGGCAAATGATATGAGAATCTCCATAGCTGCCATGCAAACGGAATGGCTCAAAGAGTTTCACTAGTGCCTTGGGCAGAGGCTGGGCGGGACATGGCCGAACTGAGCGCGCGGTCACAGAATGCACAAACGCGAGCAAATATCATATGCCCCAAGCCTGCGGCACGTCCTCAGGCAAGTTCCAACTGCTTGAGGCCGGAAGCCTAAATTCAGACATTGGGAGGATGCTGTGCAGAAGGTCCACATTACGGGCTCGGGCAGTCTTGATTAGCATCGTCTAAATTTGAGTCACAGCAACATGTTGCCTCCATGCGTCTTGCACTAAGTCCAACATGTTGTAGCCCTTCTCGCCAGGCGTCATCTTCAAAGCCGCCGTGTGCGCTGTCATACTGCTTGACGTGCTCTTTCCATGCGGAATCGCGCATCCAAAGAAACAGCTGTAAGATGCCGGAAGATGCAAACGCCAGATGGCTAGAAAATCTGCTGGAAAAACATATGCTCAGTGTACGCTTGCGCTTTCGCAGCGCAACTGCAGACGACTGCACAATGCACCATTGCGCAAGGCTTTCAAGTTTGTTTGTTGGTGCCTTGCTGCTTTGGATTATTATTGGCATCAAGGTTGTGCCTGGAGTATTGTCCTCTTCCCGTCCCTCGTTCTCCAGTGCTCTGCAAAGGCGCCTACAACCCATGGCACACATGAAGGTCATAGAAGGAGACCAGGTTTAGCGTCTGAGTTGTTTTTACCACTCCTTCGACTTTCACATATCCTGCGGTTCGCGCTTTGCCTGCTTCCGCTCCTGTCTTTCCCTGCTGTCTTTACAGAAGCATCGGTTTTCCCCGTCCTTTCCACACAGCTTTCTGTAAGAGCAAGACTATAAGGAAACCGCAGAATGCTGCAGAAACACCAGAATTGACGTGGAACACAATCAAGGAATGGGTCGGCTCGGAACAGCTTGCTGCAGCTTAGCAGCAGCCCTCTTTGCAAGCTGGGATCATTGCGACGCTCGCCTTCATCCCGCAGACTGGAGGTCCGGTCAAACCGTTGCTGCAGCTGCTGCTGTTGCCGCTGCAGCTGCAGCTGCTTTTCTTCCAACTCCTTCTGTAGCTGTAGCTGCTCCTGCCGCGTGAGGGTTTGACCGGCTGAGATTCCAAAGCGGGGACCTTTTGCAACAGTGACAACAGCAGAAATCTCCTGGAGGTCACGTTCAGACCTGATTCACGTGTGGCAAAAGCCATACTCTCGAGCGGCAGAACACGCACCAGTATGAGCTTTGCTTCTCCAATCGTGTTCGGGTGCAAATGCAGCCGCCAAGCGCAGCACCACTCCGGTTTCGCAGCAGAAGAATCATGCCAACCTTGGGCAGGTGAATTCTCAGCTGAGCTCCGGCCTACATTGGTCTCAGCTGCGTGCCATTCCTAGGCCTCACTGGCCTTTTGAGGAGTGCCACAAGGGAGCTCACGCCATAAGATAAGTTGACAGAACAATGGCCTTTGATCCGGATTTGCGACGTCTGCACGCCCTGCCAGCTCCTAGCAGCAGAAAAGTGCGCGGTGGTTTCACAACACTTGTTTTTAAACGATAAAATCTGATGTTTCTTCTTTGGCCTGCATCTTTCCGGCTTGCAGAGAGCTTTCAGAAGCCTCCAAGCCTGAAAACTGAAACATGAACCAACTTCCCACAAGAAAGGGAGAAAGGGAACATCGCTGGCCCTGCACCGCAGCCTGTTTGACTGGAAGTTCTGCATGGATGTGACCTCAGAAGTTCTGGCTCGCTTGGAACTCACTGCTTGCATGGCCGTTGCGAAGCCACGCAACCTTCTCCCGTGCCGTGACTTGAAGCTCCAGAGATGCCAGCGTAGAGTCTGCTACAAGACAGCAGGCATCAAGATGTATTACAGCTTCTCCAAGGCTTAACCCCAGGATTTGCCTCATGCTCAAAGCTTCGTAACAGAAAGATTACATCTTCTAACAAAGCACGAGGACACAAACAACTAGCAGGTAAGCAAACTTCCAAGCCACAGACTCAAAGCTCGCCGCTTGCCATCCTGCCGTGCTTTCATTGCAATTTGCTGGAGTCTACGATTAGATGTCCGTTCTGCCTTGCGGTGCGCGCTGCGGGGCCACCTCTACACAGAAGCAAATGAAGCCGTCAGCTGCAAGGAAGCGCTAAGCGGCAACAGCCGGTCAGAGAAGAAAGAAGCAAGCAAATCTCTGAGCCTCGCAGGGTGCATCCCTTGGCCGCACCTGCAGACCAATGCCAGAACCATGCAAGAACCCAAGCGGTTGCATTCGAGGCCTCAATGATGGCAGGATTCTTGGGCGACTCGGCAGTTTCCAGAAAAACCTTCAAGTATCAGACTATCAGCCTGGCGAGATTGATCCCTTTGGACTGGATTAGGAATCCGGCTGCAAGCTCGGCATCGGAGGCAAGCTCGATCAACTTATCTTCACACCTAAGTCGTCTGAACTCATCTACCCTGTGCCCTGACAGCACCGTCTTTCAAGTCGTGGCGCAATTCTCCCAGCAGTTTCAATGGGACTTGATCGAGATGATGCTGCACAGCCTCCAACTCCTCCTGGTATTTATCCAAGTAAGGAGAGCCGTCGGCACAAGTGCAGACATGTGCACAGGCACCTTGTTGAAACCTCCAATTTCTTGGAGGACAGCACATGCCAGGCCCGATATCGATGCTGGTGCATTTGCCAGGCCTCGCTTTCTCCACCAATCACACTTTCAATTCAAAACGTCTTCAGCAAAGGTATCCAAGTTGGCGGCGGAAGGGCTCTGGAGATGCAAAGCCAGGAAGGTTAAGTCTCACGAGGATGCTTGGCCTCGAGAGCGGCATATTGCGTCAGAAACTGGGAGTCTGGTCAAAAGTTAGGAACGGCACATGGCACATGCAGGTCTTCCAGCCCGAAAGGAGCCAAGTCTACTGCCATTGCGCTTGGTTGGAGGGCCAATCAGACACTTGCAATGTGACAGCATCTTGCTCCCAGTTTGTACTGCTTGCGAAGTTGGATTCTGCAGCTAGCGCGGTTGTCGCGTGCTGCTGCTGCTGCTGCAGTTGCTCGAGAAGGTTCCCGCGCACTAGGGGCATTGCCGCAAGCAGCTATGGTACTAGAGCCCATCCTTTCTTAGCACCTGCGTTTTCCGCCTTTACTATCAAAAAGCCTCTCATCCAAAGGTGTCTCTCAAGTCAAATGATGTGCTGCTGTGTACTAAGACGTGATGCCTAGACTCAGATGCTTTTGACATGAAGTGAAAGCTTCAGAATCGCACCAGTACTGCCAGCACAGGTTCAAGAAATGCAGACTTCCGCAGGCACTGGTCAGGTCTTTTGTCTACGCTGGCGTTGCTGCTTTGCAGCTTGGCTACTTGGGAGGCATTGACTTGAGCAACGATGCCCTATTCAGCACCAACAGTCATGCAGCTAGCAGTATTCTGAGCTGGTAGCAGCCAGTATCTCTTCATATCTTGCCATACATGAGTGTTGCGTCCGAGTTCGAGAGATTCTAGGTCGGACCCTGAAGTTGGACCCTGTAGTTTGGGAATACCTTTTAACGAAGCAGGACAGCCACCCTCAGGACGTGATTTTTCCAGAAGCACAATTCAAATGAACGTTCGTAAGCAAAAGCACGAAAAGACAGGCTGAGAGCTAAGGAGGGAGAGGGTATGGGGACGACATCCAAAAGCTTGGTTTCTGTCCTACATGGCATGGCGCCGTGCCTCTCTACATCTTGTCCTCAGTCTTCCTCCGTACTCCCACGTCCCGACCACGAGCCTCCACACTTGCCAACCCGAAAATTTTGGGCATTCCCGCATTGCGTTTCATGCCTGAAGATGTAAGTGAACTGCGAATTCTTACAGATTACACATTGACAGCATCTTTCGCCAAACTTTTGGTGTCCCCAGATGTCCTCAGTTATACACCCACGCATGTGTAGAACACAGCAGCAACGGGCAAGTATAACCTAAATTCTGCGAAACCTTGAGCAGGAAACCTTTCTTAGACCTTCAATAAATCTCAACAATCCATATTTTGAACATTCAGGCAGGCAAGGGCACCATGTATGAGCAAGTTTGAATGGAAAGGCCCCGCCAGGACATAGCTTTTCTGTGGCTTCCTGCAATGTGCTCAATGTGCTAGGAGCCAGGGCATGCAAAGACCATGTTTTTTGACGCAGCCGGGCCCTTGATCATGTTGACCCACACATTTTGGGACGTACTTGTGCATGTGGTTGGTTTGCTTCGAGCTGGGCCACAGAGAACGAGATTTTTGTGTGCATAGACAGCTGTGCGCATCTCGAATAAGATCCGCCCAGACCGGAGGCCGGAGGCCTGGGATTCGAGATTGCCATCCATTGAAAACATGTGCTGGCTGGTCAACAGAGATCAACAATTCATGGATCAGCGTGTGCAGGCTTGAGGAATTTTGTTCGTTGAAAAGACGCAGGCATGCAGGATTTAGCCGCCCGCATGAAGCTCTCCTTTTGCGCAGCAAACACAGGCCATGAAGGAAGAAGACTTGTTTAAAACCATGTTTATCGGCCTGACACACCACGGGTATGCATCATTTGCACTGTGGCAATCCAGCCCTGCAGGCCATCACCTAGAGCCTAGAAACTGAACTTGGGTGGAGAGAAAAGAGCAAAGAAGAAAACAAACAGAGAGAGAGAGAGAGAGAGAGACCTCACGGAGCACGGGCATGTAGAGCAATGCTTGCCTTTCAAGAGTATATCGGGAGCTAAGCGTGCAAAATCATTGTGGGACTAACCATAGACTCCCACCTTGATTCCTGGTGCGTGCAAACCTATTTAAAGTCTCAAGCTGTGCTCCATGTCTCCTGCGCCCACGATGCCAGGAGACACTTTAGCCGACTGTGTAGAGACTCCAAGACGTGCTTCACGGCGCATCTACGCATGAGAGCACAGAATCTGCCCTGTCAATTTCCAGGGCGCGAGATTTATGGACACAGACGGGCAGTTCCGACTTTGTTCAATCAGAACCGGCTCGCCGTTGAATCTCACCTTGCATGGTGCTGCGCACGACAAGCCTAAAACTTTCCTGGCTCGCACAAACAACTGAAAATCGTCTGCAAATAATCTGGCGGTAGGCCTTGGAATGGAGGACAATTCACCAAGCATGTTTCTGAGTTCTCTGCAAGTGCGGAAGTGCAGCGGATGAAACTGGGAAAAGCACGCTCCTCAGGCAATCTCAGGCAGGCAGAGTGCTCGAAAGGTGTCAAACCCATGCTCCAACTTGCTCCAACTCCCTCCCGCATGCAGCCCCGGCATGCCTACTGGTTCCCATTGGTATGCGCACCGGTCCTTGATAGCATGAACTGCGTTCCAGGCCCGCTACGGCTTTGACCTCAGACGCAAGATGAAGGTTCATTTGACTTTGCGGCTTAAATGGGTACGTTACCATCAGCCGATGTCACGTGCGTTATCATCGGAGCCTTTCAGACGTTCGAAGACAGGCGCTTGCTTGGTAAATGTTTGACGCCGCACCTCCACGACGTGCTGCAGTGCAAAACCGCGCCTCTACAAAGTGTCAGTGATGTCATAGGCTGAGCGCACCTTTGACCTGCCTTTGCCTATCTGGGCCGCGCACATGCCAAAATAGGAGAGGACAGACTGCATGCAATGAGAGGTTGCCTTCCAGAAAGCACTTCTGTCAGTGCTGTGAGGTGCCAGGCTGCAAGGCCGTCAGACCTTGAAGCGCTTTGTGCATGTCTGCTGGTCCAGCCTCAGAGCCACAGCTCAAAGTCTGGGGACAACACCAGGACAACTCCACATGCAAAAGGCTGGGAACTGCTTCCAGGGCTGGGCGTCATGCGGCAGACCCCCGAAGTACTTGCAAAGCCTGAAGAGCCCTTGATGATCACGGTCCTTTACAGTCCAAGACTTCCCGATTGCTCATGCTGTGAATAAGTGAAACTTGTGAAACATGCCTTTGGGTGGTGCATGCGTGGAGATGTGCATAGGGCATAGGGCGCGACTTGTCATTCCGCTGCAGGCGCGATGTTCTCCAACGCCCCAGTCCCCGGAGCCAGCACCCACCAGCCTGGCGGCCTGTGTGGGGGAGGCAACCCTGAACGGGACCACTGCCCACTGTTCGCAAGACTCATTAGTCCCCTCAACAAAAACCGGCCAGCAAAGGCCGGCACAAGCTTTACAGCTTCCCTCCGTGTGACTGCTGAAGTCGTGCTGGACCACGGACGCGGCCGCAAGTCCCTCAAGGCCACTGCAAAGGGTGGGCGGGGACCAGGCAAGACCTTGACCGACCCACGCACAGGCCGCAGGATGGGCGAGCAGAGGCGGGCTTGACTGACCCAAGCGGAAACCGACAGGAAGACCAATCACAGCTAAGATCAAGGCCGGCTTCTGCAGCAGTGTCGGAGTGTCGGGGATTGGCCGAGCACCGCCGTGTGTTCTCGACCGAGACGCTCTACGCTGCATGAGGCAGTCCGCTTCAACTGACAGGGTCCGGAGTAGGCAGCCACGAGGCCCAGAGTAGAAAAGACAAGAAAGCCAAACCTGCAGCCCAAATGCCTGGGTACGAACCAACTTGCTGCAGGAGGCCGGGCAGCGCCTTGCAGGCCGTTTTCGCCGGCGTGTGCTGGGCAGACGCCTCGCCCGTGCCGGATACACCAGTGTCCGGTGAGGGCGTGTCGCTGCGCCTCAGCAACCGTGGTGGGCCTGACTGTGCGAAGGTGTTGCTGTCGGAGACCTTGCGTGCGCGCTAACACGGAGCAACCAAGCAGTCACGCAGTGGCCAGCAGCACCTTAGCTATGGCGGACTTCAACTTCAACAACTGCTGCGGGCGCTCTCCAATGTGCGCGAGACCGCCTGCCCCCTGTCGCACTGTTGAAGCACCAGTGTCTTCCTTTATCCATCAACAGCGGCAACTGCCGCAACGGTAGGGGCGGTGCCGGGACGGCGCCGGGACTTTGCGCGGTCTGGCCTGGCCGAACCGGTGGCGACTGGTGGCATGGACCGCGGCCGTAGCGAGCGATGTCCGCACAACCTTGGCGCCCTTTACGTCCTCGCGCGGCCCATTGTCGCCGTTCACACTGTCACATCCGGCGTGTGGTACAGACGGCGACCTGTGTGCTACCAAACAAAGCACAGACTGCTTGCTTTTGGCAATGAAGGCAAGCATTAATGCCCTGTGCAACAAGTGTAGCCTGACCGCAGAATCACAGCACCCCTCCCCTCCTCTCTGATGGTTTGCTCCAAGCAATCCACGTAGATAGAAGTGTCATCCTTGTGCTGCCAGACCGACACCTGAAGCCATCAGTCAGATGCTCGGCCGAACTGCAGCTCCCACCGGCAGGATGCTCTCTGTCGCCGGCATATTCGGTAATGCGTGGCACTGGCAGTTGCTGATCCCCTTCCAATCCGTAGAAGCTGGCCTGCAATCTGCTGCAGGCTGGCGCTTGGACCTAGCATAATCCAGCTGCGTCCTCTGCCCGGATAGCATCTATGAACCTGGCGTGTTTTTGATTCGGTTCCGTATGAAGGGAGAACAGCCAGATGGAGTCTGTCTGGGAGCCGGGCTCTAGGTCACATGCTTTCTCGCCCAGTAACCAGAAGCCCTGCGCACGCTTCAGTACAATGGACACTCATTCTGAGCAGGTCTATGTCGCGGTGCTTTCAGTTTCTCACGCGTAGCACTTGCCACCAAGGCTCTGTTCGCAAGTACTCTAAAACGTATCTGAAGAGATACCCGGAGCGGTCCACGAAGTAGTGGCCTAGCAGGCGGTGTCCGTAGGATGAAGACCATGCAAAAAGCCAGTGGCCTTCACTGTCCACTGTTGCACCAAAACCCTTAGCCGCACATGCCGTTGGGAAACACCACTCTGCACAAAAGCAGCCGGCAGTCAACATTTCTCGACTTTCAGCCTGAGGTCTTCGCACCCTCAACCGTGTGTCGCAACATGGAGTCAAAAAAGGGGGCCTGCACCGCCCACCAAAATCGTGACGCAATTTCTGTTTGTTCTGGAGGGGCTGATGCTCATTTGTTGCTTTGTAGCTTGATAGCCACCTTGCAGTCTGTATGTGGAGGCCAGCCAGACGAAAATAGATTGTGTGAATCATGGGCCAGCATTCATGTTGGTCATGCCCTTGCCATGCGAGGACACCCTGGTTTGGAAACTAGGCCGTTAAATTCAGAAACGATCCTGATTCGGAAACTAAAAACAACCTGGAATCCCCGGATTCAGAAACTCCCTGGAAAAAAGGCATGGAGGGTGGGGGGGATGGGGGCAATTCCAAACTTAGTTGCCCAGACAAGCTGCGTTAATTTCCAAAACATGGCTTCTTGGCTTTCTGAATCAGAGTGGGTTCGTTTCAATCTCATGCTGCGAAGTCAACACACTGGCAGCAGGCACAGCTCACAAGAATGTTTTAGCACCGCACATGCAAAAGGTATTCCAGTAAAGTCTGTGAAACACTTTCTCAGCTAAGCTCTAGCTTGTGCATCTAAGCAGACCATAGCCTCCACATGCAGACGCCTAAATGCCACGCCGGCATTGGCTTGGGCCAGCTGAGCAGGCGATCGGCAATGGCTGTACACCTGGGACATTTCCACACTGGTACTTTTTAATTTTGCCGATCGTCCGTCTCGAGGTCCTCGTTGTTGTGGATCTCCCGAATCGTTTCCTGCAGCATGGCTTCTTTCTGCACCTTCTTGGAGGTCTGGTTGGAAGACTTAACTTCCTTTCGCTTGGCCCGTTCGGCCTGTTTGCGAAGCTTCAGCTTGGCATTGGCCTCGCTCTGCGTCAGGCCAATCATCCCATCTCGAAGAAAGGTGCGAAGGGTCTCCTTCTCAGCGTTGTTCTTCGTGAGAACGTTCGCCATGTTTTGTTGCCCGTCCACCTGACGGAAGCTCCTGGTTGACGAACTGTTTCACGAAGAAGTGCACCCTCTATCGCCATCCTCTTGTCGGATGAGGTGCTCGTAGCATCTCTCTCAAGATAGTCGTACACGGACCTGGCGTCGGTCACGTATACACGTTGCCTTTGCTGAATGACTGAGGGCCAATCTCGAAGATTGATCTTTCCAGAAAGGGCTTCCTCCAGGAGAACTATGATCCAGTCACCGGCCTCTACAGCTTCTGCAAGATGAGAAGCTTCTGCAGCCAGTGTGCTGCGGCACACCCTCTTGGTTTGCCCGGAATGGAAGGCCAGGATGTTCGCTCTCACCTCCTTGCCCTCGAGGATCCCGGGGTTGGCAATCAGGATGAAGTTGCCGCCAACACTCCTGTAGCGCATCTTCTCGTCATGCTCGGGCGCGCCGTTGGCATGTCCAGAGTCTGCCAAATGGACTATCACCCCATTTGTCAGGCTGACGTCATGCCAGTAACGCGTGCGGAAGTCTTGTCCTGTTCGCGCAGCTCCAACAAACTGCTTCAGCCGCACTAGGTCGGCCACTCGGGCATCTTGCTTGCCCCGTTGAGCGACACCATTTTCATAGGCCAGATCACATCTCAACTGACGTGACAGCCACCCAAGCTCTCCTGCTGAACTCTGGTAGACCTCAGTCTCGGCCTCGTTCAGCGGCTCGGTAAGCTGAGCTCGTCGATCTCGTTGCACTGGCACCGTGCGCATCGACAAGGCATAGTTCTTCATCATCACATCGATGTGCTTGGCCTGGCCCTGCTTGACCTTGCGTCCACGGAACACAAAGTCCTTGAAATGGTTTGTCGAAAACTCAAACGCAGCTATCGACCTCTCAAAAGCCTTGGTTGCATAGTCCGGGTGGATGCCGCCCTCGAGGTCGTCCACGTGAGTGACCTATATGCCACGCAGCTGCTGTTTCACTGGAAAGTAGAAAAGGGCTGGCTCTAGCTTGCTCTCTTCCCAGCCATCGGCCTCGAGGTGTTCTTTCAAAGCCAGCCAGAAAAGCCTGGCTGCTTCAGCGAACCCATAGATCGCTTTCTTGGCCTTGAGCAGCTGTCCTGATTTCAAACCGGGAAGGCCACCACGTGGAGGTTCCAGGTAGATCTCTCTGCCAACCTCTTTGCCACTAAAGTAAGCATTTTTGATGTCCTTCGCGAACAGCAGGAAACCATAGTGCGCGCAGACTGCAAGGCACAAACTCTCCGCAATTGCCGAGGCTGTTGGGGCATCTCGCCTGTACTTGCCGAGAAAGCGGTCTTTGAAGCCTTGCACCACGAGGCGTGACTTGGCCAGGAACTCCTTGCCAACCAGACCGTCGTGCTTGTTGGTACGAACCCAGCGAGTAGGGATCACAAGCTCGGGCTTCTCAGCTCGGATGCGTCGACTGGTCTCCAAGTCCAGAACTTCACAAGCTTCCTTGCTCAGCCACGCCTTCCACTCGCGCTCGTCGCTGCCACCGGGTCCAGTGAACAACTCCTACCTTTAGTCGTCCAGCTCGGTAAGCTTCAGCTCCTTTCGTCCCTTCTTCTTCGCGGTCGTCGCCGCCATGGCCTCATAGCGGTCGTCAAAGACGTTGCGCTTAAAGCCGAAGAGGAACTCGGACTTGCTGATGTCCGCCGCTAGGTAGGCTTCCTCGTGCTGCTCGTAGTGGTCAGCGGCTTTTCCGACCAAGTAGCTCACCGAGTTCACGGCCTCACGTCTCCTTCACGTAGTTCGCGCTCGCCTTGGCCTGTATGATTCTCTGCCTCTTTGCCTCTCGCTCATTCGCTTCGGCTGCCGGATCATCCACAATCGGGCTGAGCAGGCGTCCGACGCTGGGCCTTGCCTGGCGGTAGTCGTCCAGTCGTCGAGGTCCGGGTCGGAAGAACCGCAAGAACACCCCCAGGAGTCACGAGATGCACGAGCCCTTCGTAGACGAGGACACCGTAGTCGGCAACTTCAGCGTGGTTTCTGGCAGGAGTGCGAGAACGAGGCGGTCCTTGATTTGCTAGAGTCGAGAGCAGAGCATCTTCGAGAAAGTGGTGCCGGGGCATGGTTTCGACTCGGGACCGACAGTGATCTGGGAAGGTCCTGGGTGGCCCTTGAGAATGCCAACGCGGAGGTCAATCTGATCTTGTGCTCCCTGTCCGCAAGGCGCATGAAGAAGCCACAACGACATGCCGGTCCACTGGATGCCCCTCTGCGAAAATCCTTCCTGCTCTTGAACGGCAATGAGGTCCTGACCACTGACTGGGAAGATTGGCGTAGCATGTCCCCGGCGGCCCAGGTCAGACCACTGATTGCGCAAGGTCGACTGCTCTATGTCTGCCTGTTCGGCAAGGAGATCGGCGATGCCGGCCCGGAAGGTGACCCAGAGGATCGACGGCAACAACAAGAAGCAGCACGAATACGGAAGTGGAACGCCCTTCCGCGAGAGCTGAAGCTGGCCATCCGGAGAGTTCATGTCAACCTCGGACACGCTTCGAACACGGCGATGCTGCGAGCTTTCAGGATTTCCAGAGCCTCGGAGACCGCGATCAAGGCAGGCCGTCTGTTTAGGTGCCCAGATTGTCCTAGACTGCAAGAACCACGCGCACCTCGACCGAGCAAGCTGCCGATGGTGGACGAGTTTAGTCAAGCATGGTCATGGCTCAACGTTTTTGACCAGGGCACTAACTTCCAGGTCTGCGCGCTCCTGGGCGACACGCGTGCGAACCCCACCTCAGCGGAAGTGCTTCGAGGATTCGCTACGTCCTGGACAGGCTGGGCAGGCTTTCCTGAACGAGGCGTTGTCACGAACCGGGCCAAGTACTTCCTGGCAGACTTCGCCGAGGAGCTGGCCAACCATGGTTGTCACTTCGACACTGCTGCGAAGGCGTCCCCCTGGCAGATTGGCCAGATCGAGCGCCATGGTGGGCTGTGGAAGGAAACTTTCCGTCGACTTTGCTGGTCGCAACAAGTGGCTGGACGAGAAGAAGTTCTGTGGGCGACTTCGGCAACGAATCAGGCCAAGAACTCTTTGGTGCGAAAAGGCGGGTTTGCGCCCAGTCAATGGGTCCTTGGACGGGACATTCGCCTACCTGCGTCGCTGGCAGACGACGGAGAAGTCACCCGCATCGGCGCCCAAGCTTTGGCAGCAACTCCTGAACTAGGTTTTTCCGGAAGAATCAGCTGAGGATGGCTGCCCGGGAGAGCTTCGCGAGATCGGCCAATAGCGATGCCCTACAGCGAGCTGAACTTCAACAAGTGCGTCCTCACCGTGGACCATTCCATGTCGGCGCCTACGTGTTCTACTACGATGCTTCGTCAAATGGGCGGTCTTGCTGGAGAGGAGTTGCCCGAGTTGTTGGCAAAGAAGGTTCCGGCACCGTTTGGATTTCGCATCGCGGGATAGTATACTGGCAGTGTCGCCTGAGCACCTGAGTCTAGCGCAGGACCAGGAAGTTGAGCAATGGACCGTTGTTGGGAATGAACACTCCCTCATCGATGCTTTGCCTGTGGCTTCATTGACTTGAGGAAGGCTCCAAAGCCCCCTAAAGAGCCGACAGCAAAGGATGGAGATGGACTTCATCCAGACCGAGCCCTAGAACGAGAGCGGGAGATGGACAGCAGGGACCTCGGCGGCGGCCACACCTCCCGAGAACGCCAAGAGTCGGAGCGAGACGCCAAGAAAGCCAGGAAGAGTTCCGAATTCTTTGGGCAGAAGGAGCGTGAGAGAGCTGCGAGAAGGCTCGAGAGCCGGGCCAGCATGCCAAGCGAGGCCCCGGAGCCGGGGCAACCTTCTGAAGTACCTCTACAAGACCCTCGCGAGGCCTTTCGAGCAGGTTCGGAGTACCCTCCTTTGGACGTTCCCGACTACGCTCCACCTGTTCATTCTCGCTAGCTAAAGGCACGGCTGACTGCTGAGGATCATACTGTTCAAGTGCTGGTGGTCCATGTGGTGACGGCTCGTACTCCTGAAGGCTATCCTCGTCCTGGGGCTCCATCTTGACATCGTGACTCTCCCGGGGGTGTTCTTGTGGTTCTTCCTTCACCTGTTCTCCAAGGTAACCGGGCTTCACGACGAACTCCGTGGCGCCGGTCCAGGTGAAGTCCATCTTGCGCTCGACGCCACCGCGCTGCCAATCATCTTCATGTACTCGCCGCGCGCCGTCTGTGAGCTTCATGGTGGTTCGCCGTTGTGGCTGTAGGGCTGCGAGCGGCACTGGCGGCCCGGTCGTGGAGAGTGGTAGGAACAGCTGTTGCCGAAGTACACGGTGAATCCGGATCAAACGGTCGCCGTCCTCGAGCTGCCACTCGTCCTGCCATGGCTCCTCCTCGGGGTTAGTCCAGGTTCATCGTATCTCGAACGCCACGACAGATGGCCCGACACAAACCGGCGGGGTATGCCGCCGCCTCTCCTGACTTCTTTCCACCAATGACCACTTCGCGCGCCCCTGCCGGACAGGAGCATCTCCGACCAACAGCGTTCAGGATGGGCCCTATATTCGACATCCAGCCCGTGCGCTTTTGCATCCTGTGGAAGCATCCGGCTTCCCATACGGACACTGATCTCCAATCACAAACTTCCCGCCGGCATTCTTGACCAACTTGTCCAAGATGCCCCTGAACCGCCACGCATAAGAGCCAGCCGGGTTCTCTAGCAGGTAGTAGCGTCCATGCCGGTGTTGTTCCAGACAAACGGCCGCAACCAAGTTCAAGGGCCCGGCCGACCGTGTATCGAAGTTTGGCCCAGTCCAGTCCGGGACTTAGGTTCGTGAGCAAGCTCCAGATCCTGCAGTCGAAGGCCAGGAGGACCAGGAACGGACGATGTTGGCGCAACACTTGCTGAATCATCTTCCTCCCCGAAGTCGAAAGGGGGTCGTAGCCGTCAATCTTATCGAGTGGTTGGGAGCAGGTCCATCCATACTCCTTCGTTGCCGTGGTTGTAGTCAAGAAGGCCTGCAGAAGGCTCGAACAGAACAGCGGCGGTGAAGTCGCGGGTGCACCACTGCTCGGCCAAAGTGTACTCCTGACGAAGTGCGGCCCAATTTCGCTTGTCCTGCCAAGCTTGCTTCCGGCAGCTCTTGTTGATTTCCTTTGCCCTGCGGGTCGAAAGCTCAGACGTCTTATCCGAGGTCAGGACCCCACGAGCTGCAAGGTTGGGGGTTGCCGCGGCCTTCTTTTCCAAATTGGCGAAGGCACCGTCAGGAAGCGCATGTTCATGTAGAAGAGGTAGGACACCTTCACTCAGGTAGTAGACGATGAGGTCCTCTGCATTCAGCTCGGGTTGCTCTCGTGTGCCGCGGGGTTCGGATCGAGAGCCACTCGCAGAGCAACGTGCTTGGTCTTGGTCTTGACCATCTTCATCTCCAGACCCAGGGCTCCCACATGCACCACTCCGGTGGCCATGTCGAGAACCATCTTCAAGGCCTCCATCGCCGGAATTGACAGGAGGAGTGGAGTCTGGCCGGAAGGCATCTCAGCTGAGTACACCTCCCCGGGCACGTTGGCAAAGAACACTGGCAACCGCCAAACCACCAGCTTGTCATCTGTCGACTGTCCATTGGCAAAATGAAAAGTTTTGCGCTGACTCGTGGGCCTGCACAGGGTGCCTTCTGGTAGACTTCGCTCGTAAGCCAAGCGCCAAGCCTTGGAGTGGAGGCAGCTGGCGCAGGCAGTGTCGAGTAGACAAAGAAGCGAATCATCACGAAGTTCGCCAGGCGCATCCTCTTCATCAACAGCAAGGGCGTGCTCAATTGAATTCGCGGCGCGGCTTCCAGACATTGGCTGCGCCGAGTAATTGGGCTCGGTCCCTGAATTCTCCAAACCATGCAAAGCTTGCCTCTCCGAAGTTGTACAGGAAGGAGGTGGCAAGGGTGAAATCTTGATTTGGCATTGGCTCTCCTCGTCAGCGGTGGCGCTTGGCCATCGCTCTGTCATACAGCTCCAGCCTTTCAGGCAGCTCCAGCGTGAACTTGCAGTTCTTTGCCGTGGCGAAGTTCTGGCACCCGAAGAAATAGCCAGTCTTGTTGCGCCTTGAGCGCAAAACCAAAGGGCACTTACCGACCACGCAGCCAATTTGGGTAACAGCTTTTCCGACCACCATCTCTGAAGGAATCTGCATTCCCGAGCGTGGGTCGACGACCTTTGGGCTCTGGTAGTCGTTGCTGGAGTAGCTTCGGAATATATAGCCAGGTGTGGCCGCTGTGCCCCCCACGGCCGTCCCAGGGATCTCTGCTCTCGACGTGGTTGTTGCTCCTCGGCTGGTTGTCCGATTGTCCCTGAGGTCTCGGCTCTCGACGTGGTGGTTGCTCCTCCGATGGTTGTCCTTGAGGTCTCTGCTCTCGACGTGGTTGTTGCTCCTCCGACGGTTGTCCTTGAGGTCTCTGGCTTTGCCGTGGCCGCCTTTGCCTGAGCTTGTCGTGCACCAGGAGGTATCAAGGAGCCCTTATGCTCCTCAAGGCGGACCATCTTCTTGCTGTGGCCTTTCTTCGGACAAGCTCGCCCGGTAAAGCCGCCGAAGCCTCTCGACCACCTGTGCCTTCGTCCCGCTGGTCTGGACTCCCCAACGGTCACAGTCTCCTTGCAGGTCTCGAAGCAGGAGATCCCCCAGCCCGACCGGCATCACGTCGGCAAAGCTGGTGATCTTCTTAACCTCCACGTCCTTCTTCTCCACGCGGACCATGTCTTGGTCGCCAGAGCTGGTAGCCCCCGAGCTTGGATAGCCGGGCGCGGGCAAGTCAAAGGTGCTCTCCCAGACACAGGGGGGCGGAACTTCCGGAAGGACGTCCAACTCGCTGGTCGAAGAAGCTGTCGTCGCGGAGGCCGAAGCTGAGGTTATAGTCGTCCGCCTCCGTCTCCGTTTGTCAAGCTCCGTGTCGCCCTCGTCCTGCTCCATGTCGTCCATGTCGCAGTAGCCCTCGTCGTCGCTTGCCTGCAAGGTGAAGTAGGTGGGCGACTCGCTGACCATGTGTGCCTTCCCCTTGCCCCCTGCACGGTTGCCCTTCTTGCCGCCGCTCTGGTTGCGGCTGCCCTTCTTTCTGGGGCTGCTCGAGCGTCCTTTTGCACAGGCGCTATCGCCTGCCCAGTGGCCGAGGCGGCCGCACGCCGAACAGCGGGCGCGGCTCTTTTCACGAGCTATGCCTTGCTTGCGGTCCTCGTTGCCGCCGCCGCCGCCCTCGGACTTGTCCTTGAGGAATCCTCTTGACTTTTGTATGCTTCGAAGTTTGCGACGGCTGTCCTGGTAGGAGGCAAAGGCTTCATAAACCTCGTCGTCCTCCGAAGCTCCAATGTCCGACTGCTGGCTGGCCGCGTCGTCCTCGTGCTCTTCCGCTGCGTTGGCGTAGCCGTCGTCCAGGTAATCGTCCTCGTTCTCGTGCCCCAGGCTCTCGGCATCCTCGAAGTCGTCCTGGTCATCGACGACGGCGTGCGCATAGTGCCGCCTCTTTCCTCCGGCTTTGCCGCCGGACCTTCTTTTGCCTCCGGGCCACTCGCTGCTCGACTTTTCCCTCTCGTGAATGTCATAGTACGACACACGGAGGGCTTTCTCGATGCCCTCGATGGAGTAACTCGACTGGTTGGCGAGGAGAATGTTCCTTCTGTCCTCCTTGGGCAGGTTGACGTTCTTCAGCAGGAAGTAGGCCTGGAGCGACTCAGACATCTGGACGTTGTCGGCGATGTCTTGCAGGTCGGTCCAGGTCTGGCGCCGCTGTCGGATGTAGTTGTCGATCGTCTGTCCGCGCCTTCGGTAGCAGCGCTCGAAGTAGTTATCGAAGGCCTCCGTGGCTTTGATCACACTCATCTTCTCGATGGACTGCAGGCCGCAAAAATCTTCTTCTAGCCGTCCGGCTGGCGAAGCTCCTCCGGCTTCAAGATCAGGTCCTGCACCGCCAACCAAGCCTCGCCATGAAGGCCGTCCACCAGCCTTTTGGCAAAGCGAGACTGCTTCTTTGCCAGCGACTTCTTCTCCTTCTCCTCGTCGTCACCTGAGCCCTCGAGGTTCTGGAAGGCAAACAAGACTCGCTTCCTGTACTCCTTCATCAAGGCGGGCTGGGCACCGGTGAAGTGGGGGATGCCGTCGCGATCCACAATGATTTCGTCATCTTTCAAGAAGTGTCGATTTCCGGCATCCGACCGCTCCATGGCGATTCCAGTGCTCCGCTACCAGTGCGAAGTCAACACACTGGCAGCAGGCACAGCTCACAAGAATGTTTTAGCACCGCACATGCAAAAGGTATTCCAGTAAAGTCTGTGAAACACTTTCTCAGCTAAGCTCTAGCTTGTGCATCTAAGCAGACCATAGCCTCCACATGCAGACGCCTAAATGCCACGCCGGCATTTGCTTGGGCCAGCTGAGCAGGCGATCGGCAATGGCTGTACACCTGGGACATTTCCACACATGCTGTTAGTTTCCGAATCGGGGGCGTTTCAGTTTCTGAATGTGTCGGAATGCTGTTTTACGAATTGGGGAAATCAGTTTCTGAATCGGGCTGGGATTGTGTCGCCCTCGTTGCAGGTGAAAATCCACGCGTCTAAAGCAAAAATTTCATTCAATAAGGTTGGACAATCATTCAACTGTTCAAAGCCATTCGGTCACGTTGTGCCACGTGACACGCTGTGTGAGAACCTTTGGCTACACTGTCCAATTTTTGGGGTGCTGGCTTTTGCAACACCGCAAAGCGATGTTCAACTCCAGCTGTCAGCTGGGGAGCTCCATCTTGGAGTGTACCGGCCATGAGGCAACCATGAGGAGGCGTGGGGGGCAAGATAATAACAAAGGAAGAAAGGGCTGTGCTCATGGAAGCATGATGTGCTCACAGAAAATCCACGACAAATCCCAGTTGATTCACGGCATGCTGAATGGATTGGTAGGACACGTTCTGGACATACTCTGCCAGAGCCACGTGCTTTAGATGCACATCCCAGACTTACAGAGGTCTCGGTGGCAGAGCGCAACATGACCCCTGTTGCATTGACATGTGCAGCAAGCACCCGCACTCAGCAATATAGCTACGGCGCCAGTCCCATGTTGAATCTGAATTGCAAAGAAGCAGTCCACTTCGCGCTCCTTCCGCAACGTGCTTGGGGTTGTCCTGCGCGACGTCCGCGCCCCAAGCTACCAAATTACGGCTACTATGATCTTCTCACTTGACTTTGATCACACCAGCTCTGCCCACTGATCTCACACCCCTTCTTGGTCATTGCAATGACACCATCTAAATCTAACACTGCTACAGAACAACGATGAACAACACAATTGGATGGCAGTGAGCTCCACACGCATGTCTGACCTAACCCCAGCGCGAAATTGCTGCCTGAACAGAGTGCCGCCAACCTCGGCTTGAATCTAAACGTCTGCACTGCTGAGAACCCATGCTTCAACTTCAGCTCCTTCTATTTGTAAAACCACTTGGCGCTGGACATTGAGAACCAACGCGGGTCCAAACAGCTCACTTCTGCCTGCCTTTCAATGTCAGAAATGGCACTCGTGCTGCACCCGCGGGGGACAAGGAACCTCATTTTCCTGCAAGCGCGCTGTGCTTCCTGGACTTCGTGAAACCTTCGAAAAGTCGGTTGGATCAAGTGGCCTGCAGAAATTGCATTCTTGGGTTACCGGCAATGCGACCAAAGTCTGGAAATGTGCGGCCTTCACACATCGAGTGGCAGAGGCTTCGCAAGTTAGCGAAAACCATTCAGCACACAGCAAACTTAGAGGCCTCCTGTCTCCTGCCATGCAGCAATGCACTCCGTCAAGTCTTTGTGCTCGTCATAATTGGCCGGCCAAAGCCTTGACCATGGAAAAGTATCATACGTTGCCATGCTTGCAGCCTGATTGTCTGTGCTCATGTTGGGCATGAGTCAACCGTAATTGTCATTGCTCCTTCTATTCAGCGCTGCCGTTCAGATCAGTCGCACCTTCAACAAGATATCCGAGCCTCTGCGAGGTTGCTCATATGTAGACACTCGCGCACTTGTGTACTTCAAACCCATCTCTCTAAACTTCAGATGTTGTGACCCCACCTCACTTAGTGCAGTCCAAACGTTCCTTTGCAGATATTGGAAGCAAGACATTGCGCTTCTACGTATGTAAGATAGCTTGGAGCTTGTAACTTCCCAGGCTACCACGAGGCTTGAAACCACGCAAGCCACGCAGCAGCGCCAAAGCTTATCAACTTGAATCAGCAGCTTGAACAAGCCAATGAATTCAACAACAGCCTGCAGGCAACCTTCAGGGCCTATGATTCTCGCGGTGATACATTTACTGCTTGCGTAGCAGCAAGGGTGCACCCAGACTGAAATGTAGACCGTTCGAAGTGTGTACAGAAGAGAACATACCCACGGCACAGCAGGCCTGCAGCTATACATGGGCCTTCTATGTACTCCATACACATACCTGCGGTGACTACAGCTCATTGAGAGGGCATCGATGCTGAGCAACCCACGCTTGCACCGACGACAGGCTTCTGCCGATTCGAGGCGACTGGTTGAATGCCACCTGCACCGAAAACGATACAAGTGAAGATTGCATGTGCAACAGCTTCTGTTTTCCTAGGCCTGGGAAGGAGCCACGAGTCCGTCCAGCGACTCCTATGAAAAGGGTCATAGCTTGGCTTCATATTTTGCTTATCTGGTGTAGGCATCAGAGCCTCACCGCTACCATACCTTGCGAAATCTCACAACCCCATCATCTCATCTCAACGGAGCTCGAGACAAGTAGGGACTGGGCAAGGCTTGCTTCACCAGAGTGTCATCCTGGCCACCGGCACACTTCTCAAGCTACAGAGTCTTCAGCTCAGGGAATCTTCTGCGCAGCTTCCCCAAGTGAGAATCGTGAATATAGGATGTTGCTGTCAAGCCCCAAGACAGCCAGTGACAGCCAGCGCCGAAGTTTGTCAGTGGCCGTCCTCATGTAGCCATGGATCTAGAGCCATCCTCGGGCATGCCCCATCTGGCAGACTCCAGCACACACATACATCAAAGGCGGGATATCTGGATTCTAGTCGTGGCAGGGCTGAATAGTGACAGGATATTGCTCCGTGAGGTGGAGATGTTTGGATTTACTTCAACACCAGCCTCTAAGCACCTCTCTCCAAACATTTCAACAGCGTGGGTTTGGGAGCCTTTCTGCTACGGCCCCAAAACTCACATCATTCTCACTTTCAGACTAGCTTATTGCGCATCATGGATCCGAAGCTTCAAGCAGGATAAGTTGCACACAGCAAGGCAAGACAGCTGACAAGCACAAAAACATCGCCAAGCTGTAGCCATTGCATAACAAGACCGCTGCATGAACTCAGGCAAACAAAACACTGTGCAATCTTGTTTAACACGAGGCTCCCCCCACCTTTGAAGATGGCACACTGGCTAACACTATGTGAGAGCCTGTATTGTGCTGCCACCTCTACCTGGGCCGCTAGGTCGGTCTGACTGCAAGTCTTTGGCGACTCACTGTGAAACAGAAAATTTGGGGTGAAATTATGAGTCGAGTTGCGTTGCAAACTCGACCCACAGCAACTAGAAACTACAACTCAAGCAAGTTGGTTATATCTTCTTGCTATAGTACGATGTCTTGTCATTTCTCTCTTGCGAGATGGAGCTCTGACTTCTGACTTTGGTAACTTGCGTGTACAATATCCACCGTTGGACGAATCAAATGCCCACCATATCTGAAGGCGCGCTGGTTCGTACCTAGCCAGCAGGATGCAATAAAGCATGTCAGTCCTCAGCTTGCAATTGCAAGGACTGGGGGGAGGTCTGCCTGGCTAGTGAGAGGTCCAGCCGCCAGCTTGCCTTCCTGCATGTAGAGTCAGGAGGCGTCAATCTAACACATTGATCCCAACCCAGTACATGCTCGCAATCTGCGCACCTATCCGTAGAGCATTGCTTTGCGAATGGATAGAAAGCCTTTGGAAAGTGTTTTCGCTGCTGCGCAAAGCAGCCACGCGTGCTATTGAAAAAGCCTTTGGGGCTCAACAAACAGTGGTAAACTGTGAAGGTCTTAGAGCAAGGTAAAGCTTGGTTTCTTGCATGGCAGCTTGTCTGGTCCTCTTGGCTTTGGCAGAAAGTCGCTTGCCAGGCACCGCAGCCTGCTCCACAAGGCCTTGGGATTTTTGCCCCAATACTCCTTCTGAGACATTCATTCGCTTTTCAGCTAGAACATCGCCTCTTTTCCTGGTTACAGCACAATGCTGTCAGAATTCCAGAATTCTCAAAACGCTGAGAGCAGCTCCGTCTCCCGTTCCCTTCATCGGCATCCTTACCTTCGCCATCCTCTACCTGGTGTTTCTGTGCAAAAGAAAAAAAACGTCACCAGACCGGGAGAGCAGACAAGCCTGCCTGTAGAACATGAGACTCCACAGATTCTGCTGGCAGAATCCCGTTCGCCTTCAACCAGCATGATGCCAATCCCGAGCAAAACAATGGTGTTAGCACGAGGCAGGGACCATCTCTTGAGCGAGTTTCGCATCATTTTGCTGCTGCGCGTCACCCTTACGCTCATGCATGTGAGCTTTGCCACGCACAATTACAACATTCTTACACAAGCGAGCGTGGTGCACAATGATGCTGTCTTTGGTTTGATTTTTCGGACGCTGCGGCACGCCGAACCTTAGCGAAGACAACAATGAAAACGTTTGAAGTGAGACATAATGACAGGGGCATGGTGCAAAAACACTACGCTGTGACGGCTCAGCTCAGGAGCATCAACAATGCAACACAGGAATCTTGCCCTAGGGAGGAATCTAGGAGGGGCCACGCGCATACCGAAGTCAAAGACGTTTTCTTGCAACTGCTGCTGCTACTGCCAATGCTATTGCTAATGCAATCACACCCCTGCAACTGCTTGTTCTACGATCACCGCCAGTGCCACTGCCATTGCCAGTGCTTTTGCTGCTCGCACCCGTGGCGCTGCTGTTGCAATTGCGGCGGATATTAGTATTGCCACTGCTAGTGCTCCTGTTGCTGTGCTGCTGCTGTCGCTTCTGCTACAGTTGCAAATGATTCTACGCCTACCGCTGCTGCTGCTGCTGCTATTGGGGCTGCTAATGTTGTTGCTGTTGGGGCTGCTGCCGCCATCTACAGCAAGCTTTATTGTTACAGCTGTTGGCTCACTCTAAATGGGTTTATGGATCTGAGATTCAAGCTCCAAGTTCCCACGTACTGCATAACATCAGGTCTTCAGTAGTTGCAGTCCTTTTTAAGAAGAACCAGGCGAGATGCCCATTCCTAGCTTTGGCCACTTGCCATGACCCATTTATCGACCCCTTTGGGAAATGGGTGCTTCACTGCTTCTCCAAACTCCGCAGGATAGCTAGAACGCATCCCTCACTTGCGAGTAGTTTTTTGCAGAAGGCAAAGGCACTGGCGGCCGCAGGGGGCTTCAAAAACTCCAGCAATGGTGTTGTAGCTGTTTTTGCATTTCTTTGTCAAGAGCTAGGATTTTGCATTGTTGATCCTAACACGTTTTGCGTGGAGTCGCATTCCGGTAACAGGCTTTGCATTGTTGAGGGCAGTAACCCAAATTTTCGCGACTTCTTGGAAAACGTTGTTCGGAAATGCTTGCTAAGACGCGCGGCAAAGAGACATGATTGCAACGTCGATGACTCCATACACGTTTTTGACAAGGTTTTATCTGACAGTGATTTCCGATCCGACTCTTGACTTCAAATTTCTTCAGCCGTTTCTGCACAGGCTCCCTAAAGACCGTCGCTACACGAAAGCCATCATTGAAGCGTTCCACTCTGGTACCATTTACACAGGTCCAAGGTTGAAAGCAGCAGGTCTGTGTCACACTGACAGATGTATTTGCGGGGATATTCCCGAAAATCACGCGCACTTGTTTCAGCATTGTCCTGCTTACGAACAAACACGGCCTGTGCGGGGGACCGAAAATGCCTTGTCATGGTCTACGGGGATTTTCTGGTCCCATCTGAGCTCGAAGATATGCGACACGACAGTCACTCATTTACGCAACTTCCCCCCCACCAAGAGAGGGTACAGGTTGATGGCGCAGTCTTCGTGGACGGTTCAGCTTACCATGAGCAATGGAGTGTGCTCAGAGTGTCTGCAGCAGCTGTAGTTGCACCAGGTGTCTTTGAGAGATCCTGTGTGTTACCCGGCAATGACCACACTTCTTAGAGAGCCGAGCTGTATGCAGCAGTGTGGGCTCTGAAAATTACTTCAGGGCCGTTAACTATTGCCAGCGACTACGCTACTGTTGTTAATCGGGCCCTAGCACTGAAAAACCATAATTACGATCCTGCAGAAACAGTTAATGTTGACAATCACGATTTGCGGCAGCTCTTTGTTGAGGAGGTTCTTCGTGAAGGTGTGCGCGAGGTTAGCTTCATCAAAGTCAAGGCTCATGTTCGCAACGCTTACGCACGCCAACCAGAATGGTTGCCCAAAGGGAATGAAGGGGCAGATGAGTTGGCCAAAGCAACAGCAAAGGAAAAACTCCTGCAGGTTGCTGAGCCGTATTTGCGTCGTGCAGTGGATATTCAATCCCACTTGGTTTCCACTCCGGTCCTTCGGAAAGAAACGCGGTTTATGAATGCACTGAGCCTTTCAAAGCACTGCGCACCTCTGCCACATGTTGCCGTCCCCCCAAAACCTGTATTAAGTCAAGATCGTCTGTCTCATGTTGCCAGCAAAGTTCCTGTCACCAGGCAGGACTGGGATGCAGCCTGGTGCTAGGGAAGGTTGAAAGCGATTTCCAACAAGCTGTCCGTGATGAATATGTCCCGCTTAGCCTTGCAGAGCGCAAGTGGAAAATCCATCCCAACTTCAAGTCCTCACTTGAATTTGTTGGGTTTCTTAGTGCCCCTGTTATTCCACAACAGTGCGATGGCGTACGCCTCCGGGGATGCTATGTTTCTGCAGATATGCGAAAGGCTATCCGCGATTTCATATGTGACGGCAGATGGAAATGGAGCACTAAGAAAACTGATGAACGCGTCAGCTGGGTGGTGCTGTGTGCGGATTTCACTGCTAATTTTGGCTTGTCACAAGTTTAAACTACAACCAAATGTCCGTTGGCATTGCACTCCGTCGTTTCAGGGACCTTTTTCTCGCAGTCTTCACACGGCATGGAATCACTGCTGACGTAGTCTCCGGATTGCGCCACGCAAAGACCCTAGGTTTCCATAGTTTAGGCGGTGTTTCAGTCGCACGTAAGTGTAAGCACCCCGTTACTATGTTGAGCTGGTGTCTTAGCATATCCCAACAGATGCAATCTTTGAAAAGCAAAACTAGGACCAAACCCTTCTCCCGCATAACGCCAATGGGCGGACCTTGTAGCCAGCAGCAGATCACATTGAATTCGGAATTCTTCTAGTGCCGGCAATTCGCCAAAATTCAGAGACAACTTCCGGCGGCTCGCGGGGCCAAGGACCCGTGGGTAAAGTTGCAGCTGTTGCTTTCGAGGTTGCGACTGCTATTGGTGGCTGCGAGTAAGCACTACCAACTCAAGCCTTGGACGCTGTCACTGTGTACGAACACACCAATGCTGGAGCCTTAACAGAGTGGGCCTTTAAACTTTCTGGGCCCCTCAATCTCACTTTGGTCGTAACCAAATTTCACGGCCCTCCCTGGTTCTGATGTAAGCCGGTGGGAGAAATTTGAATTTTTGCATAGAGCATAGCTGGCCCGGCCCCATTTCCAGAGGGAGCCCCAAGCATGTGCAAATCAATCAAAAGCGCTCCTGACTGTCAGGGTCAGGGCTTCGCTTCTCTTCGCTTGGCAAAAGGAGTCACTTCGGTGGCCAGAAGGTGGACGGCAACTTTGAATTCATCATAAGAAAGAAATCCCTGTTACGTGCGCGCAACTGGCGCAACCAAGCAATCTTGCAGAATCAGGGAATAAAGTACAAGCATGGCGGTATTACTCCCCAGAAACCCAGGAACACGGTGTCTGAAAGCCATCATGCCCAAGGCAAAGCTGAGACATGCTGAAATTAAGAGGCGGAACCAGCTGGACAGGCGCATTTCGCAATCCCAGCTGAGGCATCCTCCGTGGGAGCCAACGCAGGCAGCCCTCCCCCTGCACGATACTGCAAAGCAACGCTCGTCTACAAGGAGACACGGACGCCTGCACAAGCCGCTCAGACTATTGTCATTGAACGCTGACAGTATGAGTTCCCAGCCCCGGCTATGGTCAGAATTTTTGGAACAGACAGACGGCTGCAAATATGATGCAATCATGACTCAGGTCACAGCTCATGAAGAATGATCTTGTTATCGCCTGCCACACTACAGAAATCAACCCGTTGGCACTCAAAAAAGGAGCTGGCAGGGTTCAAGAAGTGCACTGCGAAGTTAGGCGTTGTCTGCCGCAACATTAATCAATCAACATGTCTAGAGATATTCTAGTTCAGCGGCAGAAAACACTTCACTACGCTCAGGGGTGCTGAAGAAGCTTCCCAGTGCCAATTTCTACGCAGCCACAAGGATATACCCAAATTTTAGCTGTGGATTTCAACACAAGGCTGTTTGCAAGTGGCAAGGAAGCAGGCTCAGCCACCATGCAACCTCGGTACACTCTGCAAAAGAAGCGGGGAAGCTCATGAAGCTTCTTAGGCAGCATCAGCCCGCAGCTCTGAACACGTGGCAAAAGCGACCCATGCCCACCTTAGAAAACTCCCTCAAAACAACACTCAGATCACATTCGTGATGGTGCCTCAAGCAGAAGCAGCAGGCACTGCTCGCCCTACCTTGGAAGAACTTTTGTCCTAGCCGGAGAAAGGGAGGGCGACAAGCACCTGCAAAACCAGTGGCAGTATGCAACCCCTACCGCGAGCCTATGTCCAGCCTATATCCACATAGAGCCCAGCTGGCTCAAGGAATTGGAAATCTTTCCCCGGAGGCCAAGGTTATTTAGCATATATAAAGTAGAACGTCTGCTAGATCACCAGTAGCAACGACACACTGGCAAAGCAGGCTGCTACCTGTGTTTACCAGAAACATAGACCTGAGCAGGCCAACGCAAACCACACCCATACCATGGAGAGCGAGGAAGTCCTACAAACAGCCCTATAAGACCAGCAATCCCTTGGCCTCATAAGTTGCTTCGATTGCGGAAGCCTGGACTTGCCTAAACGCCACGTCCGGGACCAGAATTACAAAATTAGGTACCTGTGCCCTTGGCACCCGCAGCCCAAAGCGCGATCGCAACACAAGGGTCGCGTGCTTTCAGAGGCCGCCCAGGACCCTCAACTTCCATCGAAAACAAGCTCATGCCCCAGGCTCAGAGGCTGACGTTTTTATTGAATCGGGCACTTGACATGACCCATCATAACTTCTGCTCTCGTCCGGCTCCGTTCCGTGCTAATTACCTGCAAACTGCCGGCCACCAAGGGTAGGCCTTGCAGAAGAGCTCCACGGCAGCCAGCAACGGGAGCTGCAGACGTTGGACTTTGTCCTCCGGAGGTCGCCGTGCTCCACATCAGGATGTTTGACCCAAGTGTTTTTCCGTTGCAGAGGACCTCAAAGTCGATGTCGCCCCGCTTGGCGGTAGTTGGCAGTTTACTGATGTTTACACTGGAAGCACGGTCCTGCAGGCAGATGTTCTGCCATTCGCGAGCCAACCCTTCTAAGCACAGTCTAAACATGGAGGCAGGGACTGAGCCTTGCGGCGCCGCTTTTTTATCGGGCTGGATCGATTCAATTTGGCTGGACAACTGCGCAAGAAACCCCCAGCTCAGGCTAAAAACATCAGCCGTCTCGGGATTGTAATAGCCAACGGGAAAACGGTAGCTGCAATGGCAAAGAAACGTCTTGAGACTTTGATAGATGAGTACTTGAAGGATAAACCTCAATTTGAACATTTGCCGGGCCGAGGTGTTGCCGAGCTGATGCTGCAAATTCACACCGTGGCAGAGCTCACAGAGGAGCCCGCACGCAGATGGGCATGGCCCGGTAATCGTAAAACCCGGTTGAAGAGAAGCTTAGATCTCTCGCAAGTTTTTGCAAAGCCGCTAACTCTTGCGTCGAATAAACGCAACAATAAACGCAACAGAGCAGGACCAAGCACTGGTCTCAAAGCTCCATCGCAATTCCACGTACGCAGTATCATATGGACGAAGCTCCAGGTCCATCAAATCCACAAGGGGAACCAAACAAGGCAGCAAACTTGCTCCGAGTCTGTTCGCCTTGCCAACAGCCAAGAGGCTGAAAGCCTGGAAGCCGTGCTGCTACAGGTTGACGTGTCGGGTACTTTATGGGTTTCGTTGACGTCTTCATCGCCCATGCATCAGCTCTCCCGGCGGTCGGCGAAGGCACTCCCATCGCTGTGACGCCGTGAGGACATTCCCTTCCCAAGCATTGCGCAAAGCCTCTTCCTGAGGCAAAATCAACAACATTGGAATCAAAGAGAGAGAAAGATAGTTTCCAGGAATCTGCTCCACTGCGCAAACATCATGACACGTGCACTGAAACCAAAAAGCAAAGCGCCCATAATGACAAAGAAGACCTGCTGTGTACACGAGCGCTCCACCACGACAACATTCGCAGGCAAGTCACACTCAGCAACTGGCAACATTCCATATGCCCCAGAGATATCTTCACTGCCGGACCCAATGAAATCCAAGCACAATTCTTGCTGAGACATGCCTTGTGGAAACACTTAGCAAGAAACATTTTAAGAAGTGGGCCAACCTGCGCAAGCATGTGGAAAGACAGGCATGCAAACCGCTGTGTGACGCATCCTCCACTTTGCTGGGCAGAACTCAAGACCAGACACTGCCTTCAACAGCAGCGAAGCCTGGGGGAGCAACTGGCGACTCTCTCAACGCAACTGCCCTTAGTTTCAAGCCATTCGGGAATGGCAGAGCGCACAGGCAAACTTGCAGTTCCCCTTATATCACTGCTGCGTTTGCGGTCAGGAGGTTGATAGCGCCAAAATCACATTCCAAATTCAGAATCCATCCTCATCCTGAGGAACGGGCAAGCTTCAGTAACAATGGCTTCCGCACAGGCAAAGCCAAATCCCGTGTCCAAACTCGGAGGCGTCCTTGTATTCGCTGCAGAAAGACAGCTCACATATCAAAAAGGCACGCAGAACAATGCGCAGTTCTATTTCGGCTTACTTTTCTGCGGCATCTTGGAGGACTCCAGGATGTTTCCCACCCCCAATAAAAACTCAGGCTAAGCCAAAAGCTTCAATCACGGCAGCCCCAAGCGCTGCTAATCAATCCCAAATCAATCATTTGCCTTCCCTCCCCCTTCTCAATTTCTTCCTCCGCATTGCGAACCCTCACCCTTTGCGTTACGCGAATTCCGTAATTCATTCGTTTCAACTCATACGGGCGTTTGAGCGGCCAGAGCTTCGCTCACACGCAACTATACAGATGCATCCTGCAGAAATTTCGACAAAGCCTTTCAACTAGCTGCAGTTGCTAGAATGGGGCTTTGCCGAGAGACAGTGCGACACTTCGGAATTCACGCACTGTTTCCTGGCGTGTGAGCAGTAGTGAACACGGTCCACTGCGCTCAGCAAGCTGGCAATTGCAGAAGGAATCCGAACTATAGATGGGGAACCTGCCCGTTCCTTCTGCCCTTGCGCGACCAGGCTACTCCCAATCCATCAAGTGCACCGGAACGGTGGAGGCAAACATAATCACATTCTCTCGCAAGTCGTTTTGATTGTGGGGGATCTATGATCTATCCAATGAAAGTTGCTCAAGAAAGGGTCGGCAGATAGTCATAGCAAAATTGCACTTGTTGAGGAAACGCAGGTAAACACAATCGACCGCCCTAGGCTCGTGGAAGGACTAAACAGCTTTGGAAACTCCAAACACTTGAGGGCAACGGCGGTGCCAGATTCCTGTCTTACCCAAAAACCCCGCTAAGATGGACCATCTACCGTGTAAGAGCAGCAATACGTCAGGAGCGTCTTATTTACAGATGACATGTCACCTGGAGCCTGTGCCATAGCATCGTGTACTCAGCGAAGCTTACATGTTGCTTTGGAGCCTCAAGCGTAGCAGCATGATCCGTATTAGCAGACCCTCCCCACTTCATATTCTGAGGAGCTGCTCAAGGCTGGCCACTCCATCTCAGAAGAAGATGCTCTCGAAAAACAGGGCAGGCCTATCGCCGATTACTTGTGAAGAGTGATAGAAGGAGAAGCACTGCTCTTTCTCAACTCTGTCGGCTCTCAGATGCTGACAGCAATTTAGAGCTCACTAATCTGGCAAATCCCAAAAGCGTTTGATTGATCTTTCACACGACCTGGAGGCCGAATAATCTGCAGAGCATTCCTTTCTTGCGAAGCGCTGTTCAACCGGGCTCGGCATCCTCCTCAGAAATGGCTTTTCCGTCGAAGAGCGGCATCGCAGTGATGACCACCTTGGCGTGCAGGCGTTAGCACCAGTGCTGAAGAAGGGGCGTGCAAGTGGTAATACAAGCACCTGGATGCATGAAGATGACAATTGCTTACTTGATCAGACTGCACCGGACTGCACTGTTTCAAGAAGCCGCAGCTCCGACTTGGCTAACGTAGCGTAAAGTTACACGCCTTCTGGTCGAGGTATCCCCCTGGAAAGAGCAGAACACCAGCCGCACAAGCCTCTCAGAATAACTGCCGGACGAGCGCTGAAACGGGTGTGCCTGTCGCAGCAACCTGCCTCAAAGTTTCTCCCAAGGTTGATCATGCGTCTCCCAAACAGCGCATGTCAGCCGGGTGACTTGCAAGGTATACGCGGTGGCCACAAAAACGGAGCCTGTACCATGGTTCAGATAACTGATCGCCGAGATATCCTGCTGACATCTCTAGTTGCCATTGCATTTCTGCAGACGGTCGCCGATCGGAGTCTGTCTGCAAATTTGTCCGAAGGTATCATGCTGCAAGTTGCCAACACGGCAGAGGCGGTAACATGCCTCTACTGGGGTCTGCCACCGCCTGACAGTAGCTTATGCCATCTTCTGCCCAAGCACCAAGGTTTCCTTCACATCAAGTTTCACTTGCCCGCCAAAGCACAATGGATTCGCGCAAACATTCAAGTGCAAAAACTAGGTCCTACTTCCTACTCCTGCTATTGAGATTGCTGCCACCGTTGATGCCACTGCCACCCCCGCCGCCTCAAGTGTTTGATGTAATGTTGGACCTGCTTTTGCCTTGAGAGTCGGTCGCTTTGATGTGTTTTGGGCCCAGCTTATTCAGTTTCAGTTGTAATTATTTGAGGGCCGCTGTAATGTGTTCTGATTTTGGGGCCCTAAAATATAGGAAAGATTCTGAACTCTCCCTTTTAAATCAATCCACAGGGACCTCAGAACGGTGGGAGGCTGAGGGCCCTTATTGAGGGTCTGTAATTTCTAATTTTCTGAAGACCCTATTGTTAGGGGGGGTGGGCCTTATTAAGAGGGTCCAGCATTACAGGCTGCTGCGGTGGTCAAAAGGAAACCGGCGGCTGAAGAGGAACACGACAGGAAAACAAGGAGCAGGGACAGCTGGTAGAAACACGATCGCAGAGCCGAGACAAAGCCAAAGATCATACTGTACGGCAGCAAGACGAACATGAGCAGAGAAAAGTAGTCAGCAACTTGAGCTTGAAGTAAAACAAAAACAATGTCTAAAAACGGTGACAATAACCTCGGTGACTGCCATCGGCAGGGCCAGAGCGTGGGCAGAAGCTGCTGCAGCAGAAAGGGCAGCAGCCGTGGTCAGAGGCGGCTGTGGCATTGGCGCTAGCAGGAAGGACAATAAGCTCGTCTCGCTCATCCACAGAATGGTACACCGAGACAAAAATTGCAGATTTGCAAGCCAACTTTCTGCTGGCACTGGGAATGTGGGGGGAAGTCGGAGTCTTGGCGCTGTGCGACTTGGATTTGAGGTGCTCCACACCGTCCCACTCTGGCGGCGGAGGGTTCTTCATGTACTCCTGGACAAGACGCTGCTGAGAAACAAGAGGAGGAGCCACTGTGCACGCGCCTCGCATCTGCAGATCATCATGTTCGACCTGAAGTAGCCAAGCCAGCTCCCTGCCAATATACCGACAGCGGAAAGACGTGATGCTCTGGGGTTGCAGCGTTTCATCATCAGGTCTGTCCGCAACCGCTAGGAGAGAGGAAACCTGTTTTGCAAGCACAGCCCATTGAGGGTATATTGTTGCATGGTACCAAACTGCCGGTGTTGATGCCGAGGGAACCTAGACTGCATCAGAAAGCAGCCTGCTTAATGCGAAATGCATGTAGTCTGCGCGTCTGCAGCATACACATGGATTAGGGTACTGGTGGCCGCATCACTCTCCTTATTGGGGTAACCGTACAAGAGCACCATCATCTTTCAATTTCAATGCACCTATGTTGTTGGGACGTTTTAGCCAAAGCCTTTTTGCACGTGCTCAGCGTCAAAAACAATGAACTCTCTGTAAGGCTGCAAAATGCAAGGGCATGCGTCGGGAACTGCTCAACAGCTCATCTTTCGAAACACTGCCTCCCTGCCATTCCCTGCCAACATCAAACTACCGTAGCGTCACAGCAACGGCATGTATGAGGACAGGAAGATTACAAGTGCTAAGCTTGTTGAGATTTCTGGCCCCAAGCCTGGTATTATCGACCCTCGTGCTCATCTCCACCATACCATCCAAACATATTTGATTTTGTGCAGATGAAAGCCGCCTCTTCGAACTTCTCCATTGCTTCCCTGAACTTCCGTGCCTCCCGGCATTCGAACTGACGGCACCCCTGCATCAGCCATCCGAGGCTGCCGGATACTTCAAGGTCGTGGCCAGGTACAGGTCAAAAGCCAGCTGGTGGCGCTTGACTGCCTCAGTACTTGATGCCGATTTGATCGTTTCAGAGCTGGGGCTGCTCCACAGACACGCCTCTGCCAGCGACGGATGTTCATGCATAAAACCTATGACTTCGCAAACCTGTCCAGGTCCGCCAAAGCCACTAGCATGCTCAAACATGCCCAAATGCAGCAGGCATTCATACTGGGCCTTGGTGGGTTCACTCTTGCCCTTCACGGCGACGAGGTCCACTGGCCTTTGTCGGCGAGGCCACCGACCCGCGGCTTTGATTGCAGTACTTCTGCATCAAATCAAAGCGGAGCCATCTTCAACCCCAGGTTGCATGCCGTACTGCCTTCCTGTGATTGAGAACCCCTGCGCCTGGTTGCCAAGTTCAAGGGGATCTGCTGAGCAGACAATGCATTTTGGCTGCACAGTGTGCAAGTCCCGTATCTGGAATTCAGACCTGCCAAGAGCATGATCCTGGTCTTTCACAAAAGGACAAGAAGCCACGAAGCCTTTCATCCGCGCTGCAAGGTTGACACCATCTCCCAACAAACCGTACTTGATGCGCTGGTGGGAACCAATATTCCTGCGCAAAAGCGGAACATAGTTGTAAGCACAAGCAGTGCACAACAATTCTGCAGAGCGCTCCCTGCGAGGATGGAAGCCTTAGCTAGTCATTCCTAAGGCGAGTCCAATCTCAAACTGTAGAGCACCCCAGCATGCGTAAGCCTGCAGTCTAGCTGCGAAAAATCAGCTTTATTGTGTCTGGGCAGTACACTGTACACTCACAGATGCGCTGTTCACTAGCTGTTCACTGATCCTTCAGCAGCTCTACCGGCTGCCTTGCATCACCTCGCCTTCACGCACTCTCCCCACCCTCCTGATGCGTGACCTCACACTTCCTTTAGAAACATGCCCTGCACATCTGCGATCGTCTTATGCCCTGGGGCGGGGTTGCTTTTTATTTTATCATTGCCCCGGCGCTGCTTTTCCTGACCAGGCACTCCAGGCCACACCACGCCCTTGTTTCCCGTTGCATGTTGAAGACCTTCCCTCAATCCTCTCGCCTGCTTCGAGCCCGCCAGCCGCGGCAGGCGAGCGCCAGCATAAGCGCCCGCCATTTCACGATATGCTTTTCCTAAAAATATCTGCACAGGCTGGAGTGCAACCCTCAAATTGAGAATCTTTGTCTTTGCAAAACTGCCGAGTTGGCGTACTGGCCAGAGATACCGGCACAGGCTGCCGTCTTTGCCATGTGAAAGGCACGTAGCATGCCAGCTTGGAATCCAGTCTCTGCACCGTCATTGCAGATTAGCCACGATATGTTTAGGACATGAAGCCACAGAAACATAGAACGCGTAATCATGTTTACACTGATTCGAGCCAACAGGCCGTATGAACTCCAACGCGGCATCGAATTGGTTTCTCCTGCAAGCTTGAAAGGTTGGCCTCGCCTATTCTATGATGAACCAAGACAGTCCTGATTTGCCACCAGCACCTTGTGCTGCACAACAGCCTCTGATGCATTGAATACCCGGCGGATCGCAGTCTTGTCTGCACCCTGCCACAGCAGACCTTCTGGATCGCAAGAGCGCACAGTAACCCGGCTGAAGCCTCATCATGCACATGAGGTTTCGGCAAGCAATGGACAACAAAAACAGCACATGAAGATTCTGCCCTGCCACAAGACTTTGTGTGGACAGGACTTTGTTGACCTAGCATGAAGTCTGCGGGCCGGACATGGTTTGGCAGTTTATTGGGCGCATTGAAGACAGCCATGACCTGCTTACAAAGCTGGATGGAGCTGCATGCTTAGGTCTGCCGCACCCCGCCTCATCACTGATGAACTCTAAGAAAGTTCCGTTCTGCAGCTGTATTTCATCGGCAATTGTCCCCAGAACGCCTCCAACGGCGCAGAGTGCAACTCCCTTGGACATGTTTGCATTTGTTCTGCCGAAAGACATTCGGAGGTTTTTACAGGAACCTTCCCGCACGCCCCCACCAGCTCGCCCGCCCTATGCTCCCCAGCTTGGCATGAGGATTCCATGGAAGCGGTGCTTGAAGGGGTTTATGCTGGTGGGTAAGGAAATAAGCAATTGACATTTGTGATTAGGGGTGGGGCTGTGTGTGTGAGCAAGATATGTGTGTTTTACGAGCCTTTTTGAAGGGGGTATGGGCAAGGGTCTCTTTAGAGTGGTGGCCAAGAAGTATCGGCAAGGGATAAAGGGGTGCATATGCGGCTGGAGGGGCGCAGAGGGGGAAGCAGGTATAGCCCACCCCTATGCACCACTTGAAAGGACCGCTGGACCTTAAATATCTCTTGCCCAAACTCCTTAAATACGTTGCCCATGCCTCCTTTTCACGCCCCTGTACATGTCAGTTGCCCATAACCGCCTAGCCACCCCTCCATAAAACCTAAATAATATCCCTTGTCCACATTCCACCCTTTACATGCTTTGCCCATACTTTTGAGGCGCCGCTCCAATACGCCCCAAACCATACCCCCTGACCACCACCTAAACTGAGCGCTAGACCCTAGACATCCCTTGCCCACAACCCCCTTCAACCAGACCCCCCCGCCCCCTACAACCCTCCCTAATGTTGTGTCTACCATCTACCTTCTCAGCGCCGCGCGTCGAGCCGGGCCGAGTTTTTATTTCAATTACGAACTCTGCAACTTGTGCCCTTTGTTTTGGCTCGTTCTAGCGTTTTCTGTCCGTTGGCTTGGACCACCACAGTCAAATTAGGTGTCATTTTTGTTCTCTCTGCCATCTTCTTGCTTCCATCACTGCAGAAATCGTTTGTGGCAATCTGCTGGGGCTTACTCTTTGCTGACTGTGGGACCTGTCGAAGCTGCCTGCTGGAATTCCATTGTTGCCAGGCTTACCAGCAGCCCTGTCTCGGCTCTGTTTTCCAGTCTCAAAGTCATCCCAACAATCTTAGCACTAAAATATCTCAAAGGGTCCAGCATTAGAGTAGTGTTCACAAGACCCCAAGTTTCTTGTCTTATGCAAGCTGCACAGCCCTACTGAAACGGGATCTTTCATGGCGAGTCTTCGGCCTGTCAGCTTACTCAGCACTGCATCAGGATGCATCTCGCGGCATGTCTCCTGACATCATCGCCAGATAAGCGGCAAGTGGTCATTCCACAAGTCTGTCCTCGAAGCCATCAATGTCACAAAACAGAACCGTGACCTCTGTCAAAATTGCAAACCAGGGAGACTGCACCAAGAAAGTGGCGCTATCCCGTGACATAGGATGAGGCCTCACATCTGGCAACTCCAACTTTCGCCTGAGTCTATGCAGGGATAATTTAGCTGCCGTCTTTCCAGCTACTAACGGCCTTGCCTCAAGGCCAGCGACATAGAAACGCTCTACCACTGATGGTGGCACAAAGAGGGACCAGGACCTGCAAGAATGTCACGTTCCATCTGTGCAAAAGAGCCCAATCTAGTGGTTGCTCTTTCAGGTGGGCAGCTCCCTTCAAGGATGTTAACAAAGCTGCACTTGAAAGGTGCACAAATACCAACAGGCCATCCACTGTAACATTTGACTGAAAATTCAGGTCCATCCACAATCCACATAGCCTCGGGCCCTTGATGGGTAGAGCAGGGGGAGCCTAGAGCAGAAACCAGGCTATCTGCCCAGGGGCACCTGATGGCACTGCGCATCGCGCGGAAGGCCATGTTGAGATTCTCCAGCTCCTGCGTTCAGACTCTCTGGCGTCACGTGCGCGATCTTATTGCATGCATGTTTGTTGCACCTCGGCAGTCTTGATCTTATCTTTCGATGTCTTGCTGTTCAACATCCCTGGGGCGGTGTGGTCATCAATGCCAACCTCGGGTGATAGCCACGCCCAAGATATCCAGTAGCTTTTGGTGCACTCGTCATTTGTCAGGCAATGGCCAACTCTAGGCTGGACATCGCCACCATGTCATCCACCAAAGATCGCAGGGGCTGTAACAAAGTAGTAGAAAACCTGACAGGTCCACGCTACACACAGCTGCAAGTAGCAGCCAGAGCAGAGGGCAGCCAGCAACATTAGCTGCGCTGCGCATGCTCATAACAACTTGAGAACTTGAAAAATCGATAACCCCTTTGTGCTGCATGTCCAGGTACGGAAAAATCGAAGGAACACAGATGTTGTTTTGCTTTTTAACAGCGCTATCTTCACCAACAAGCTGGTTCAAAAGAAATGTGAACAAACTGCATGCGCCTACTGTACAGACACGACAGACATCACCCTGCCAGCACCCAGGCCTGTCTTACCACGTCACATCTTTATTAATGCTTACTACGCAGCCCAGGAGATACTGCATCCAGCATACTGTTCAGTCAGGCGTGTCAAGCTTCATGAGCATTGGGCAGGCCATGCTCATGCACAGAAGGCTATAGTAGCTTTGAGGCCAGAGCGTGGAAATCTTCAGGTTGAGAACATAAACCTCAGTCGCAAGCCATTGCGGACAAGCCATTTGCCGACCCGTGCTCTGCCCAGAACTTAGTTGCAGACTGATAAGGGGATCTGCACCAACACTGCGAGAACCGTCATTAGTGACCAGAGTGCCGCATCCTCCGTGCACGCGCATTGCTAAGGCTCGATGCAAGCCATGGCAAGCTAGTCTTGCCTTGACCTTCTCCGACAAATCGACCAAGGATATGCCTAAACCAACAACATCAGCAGAGTTGCTGCGTAGTGTTTACTTGAAAGCGAGCGCTCTCAGGAGAAAGGTCCCTGGCTTGAAGTCCTTGCAGGATCCCGATCCAACTTCTACAACTGGTCTGAACTGGTCGTGAGTCTGCAGCGGGTCCTGTTCCCTTCCATCCTAGGCAAGTCGTCGCAGTAGACTTCCCCATTCTGTAGCCAGCAGGCCCTCAGAGACAGCTGGTGCACCGGGACCCGTCAAAAACCAAAAACGAAGTGGACAATTTCCTCATGACTCATGACTTTGGAACAAGCTAAACAATCGTGGGTCCGGAACTTCTCGAATTCGGTGCGACGCAGTTTTGCCTGGCAAGGCGTCAGAATTTTGTGATTTCTGAAAGAAATACGACATTTGGCCTCGGCCACCAATCGCTCGGTCTTTTCCAAAGCAGAGGCAGAGGAGATCTTGCGTGCCTAACTCCAACGCTGCTGAAGACGCTGTTTGAAAGTAGAATGCCATGCCACAGACCTATGCTGGCTATCGATTGTGTGGAGTGACTGTGGCTCTTCCAGGAGGCAGACTCCGTATGTCAAGCAATCGTAGTCTGGCGATTTCTCGAAGTGTTCCCAGCCTGATGGCTGCTGGACACACTCCGAAGTCAAAATGTTTAGTAGCACGCTGCATGCAGCTGAGATATCTGCCGTCCAGGTACAAGTACATGACCTCGTTGTGCCTAAGCTACGCTGGCTGCAGAGGCCCGCACAGCCCCAACTCATGCATCGAAATCTCGAGAGCGTGGCTCCATGTAGACCGCTATTTGTGCCTTACAGTAAAGCCAGGGACTTGCTATTCTGACACAAAGGCGTCACAAGTCCTTACTGGCGCCAGGTGGTTGACTTACAGCGCTATTTTAGGGGGGAAGGTATTCAGATCTCCTGCAGGCCCCTAAGATTCCCTGCCACGCATGCAGCCAGAGAGAAGCAAGATGCATTTCTGATTTGCTGGCGGCCTTCTAGAAAGTTTGGGTTGCTGCTCTTGCCTTTTTTCATGGTCGCTGGAATCACAAAATGCAGAGCATGTGCACCACAGGGGCATTTTCAACATCTGCGAAATTCCTATCCTGGTATGGCCGTAGTATATTGGCAGAGCAACTGAGCTTCAAGCGCACAAGTGCGCCCAGTCACCGTTCGCACCCTGCGTCCATTTGAAGTATGGCAAGTAAGCAACACCTGCCCGAAGCCCGCACCTGTGCGTGGGCTTCACTTGCAATCTTGTCGAGCTGCGCAAGCCTCAAGATGAGTTCCGGAGGCAATTAAAATTCGATGGTTGGCATGTAGGTTGTCCGCCCATGGGAGGGAGCGTAATCAATGATGTCCACCTGGCCGACGTGACATGTAGCAACTGTAGCAACACATTGAAGTTCAGAAAAGCAGGGCCTCCAACAGCGACATAGTTGCTACCAACGCCAATATTCCCACGCAGACCTGCATACGTGGGTGCATACGTCACCATCAACAACAAGAACAGACTTGGATGCTGCCTTCATGGCAGTGCTGTCACTTAGCCTTTGCGTCAGTGCCCAGACCTGACAGGCGCACTGCATGGAAGAAAGCTTGTGGAATGAAACTGAGGTTACCCGCACTGCCACCATCACTCTCCAGGTCTTGGCGATGAAACTCCACCAAATACTCGCCTGCAAAGCCAGAGACCGCAAATGTCTTGTCTGCTGAGACAAGGAGTCTACAATCCGGACGGCACCTAGCTTGGTCTGCATGAGGGTTTCGCTAAAGACGTCCACAGTGAGCGAAGGTTCTTAGTGGCGCCACAAGGAGATGACAAGCCGCTGACGTCCAAGCTGTCTAGAGCGGTGGCCGTAAAACAGCGGTCACCTCTTGAGGGAAGAGCAGGTCTTAGGCCCATGATGCTCTTGTAGGGCCTGAAAGGGTTGAAGCCAGGGCAGCGGACGATTTTGGCGGGGAAGCACGAGAACGGTGGAAGCACGAAAAGTGAATGAAAGCTGAAATCCCGAATTTCCAGGAAGCAGCGCTGGACTGCTGGACATGAAAAGCTGTGAAAAATAAATATAAAGTGCCGGAGCAAGTCAACTATAACATCAGACAAGTCAGAACCCCTCTCATCAACTTTTCTGTGGTATGAGGACTTTCACAGATCGAGGAGCTGGGGGTTGGTGAGGGAAATTTTGGCACTGGACCTGGAATGGCTGGAGTCGCAAAGCTGTTTGGAGCATGTCACTTGAATTTTTAGGTCATGAAGATGATGTGGTATAGGTGCTGCTGAGCCGAATTGGCTGTAAAATGTTTGGCAAGAGTGGGATGTGTTAGCGTGTTGTAGAGGCAGGGCCCTCGTGTCGTTTGAGGTCAGGGATGATTTTCTCAGTTGCAGAGGTTGCAAAGAGGATATTTGTCTGATTTGTCTGATTGTCAAAGTAATTCGGTATGCTACCGGAGCAATTTTCTGTCAGCCTCCGACGTACAATCCTCGATGTCGTACGTGGCCCACTGAGGAAAAACCGACGAATCCGACCGATAGCGGTAGAAGGCCTAACAAGTCTCATCAAATTTATGACTTTTCCATGGAGTCGATCGAGCCATCAATTTTTTTGTTTGAAGTGCTGTCGATGTTTCAAACGTTTGTTCCTGGTCTGAGAAGTCGAAAAGCGGGAATTCTGCAGAACAAAACATCCAAAAGGTGAAGAAAAAGTCAGTGACAATTTGTTTTTTGGACTTCTTTTGGTTGCTGTGCCAACATGCGAGCCCAAGAGTCAAAAAGCTACTCCTTGCGCCCAAGCTAGAAAAGTCCAAAACATACTGCTGCGCTGGACTTTTCGAAGAATGGTATCGCCACAACAGACAGATAAGTAGAACGGTAAACGAATATCGAGGCAAAACAGTGTTCAAGTTAACCTTGTTGCACAATGCGTACAACTCGAACAAGTCTCACTGTGTGCGAGACATAGAGCTTTTGATGCGTTTGACTTTCTTTTGGATATCTCAAAGTTCTCCAGCTCAGAGGAACCACGGTCAGTGGAGAGCTTAGCTTACAAGGAGAACTCGAGGTGCCGCATCACACGGAACGTACAATGAGCAAAAAACACAATGTCCTCAAGCCTCTTGAAATCACTGTAGCCTTTGTCAGGTTCCATCAACGCAAGATGCCATCTGTATACAACAGTCAGTCTGAGGCAAAGCAGAGCCTGCAGCAGTAGGGGTCTTCTTAGGTACTTACCCATGTGCAATGCATCGATTGAGACCCTGGGTACATATTCCAGAATCACTCTTAGGACGTGACTGAGCTCATGAACATGTCCACTTTCATCTTGACCGCAACTCAGCAGCAGCTCAGAGTCCTCACATGGGGTGCAAGAGTCCACGAGTCTACTGAGGAGGTGGAACCAATCATCCTTCTCAAGCATCTTGGCCACGTCAATCTTGTCTGGACGAACATGCGGGCATTCCTGGGAACAACACATTCCCACAGGTCTGCGCCCTACAATGTCTAACGTCTGGCACATGGCATGGTGTCAGAGTGCTTCCCCGGCTGAAAATGCACATTGGAGCATGTGCAAGGTCTGGCCTGGCCTGCAACAAGGCCAGGTAAAAGATTTTCAAATCGAACGCAGCGAGCTTGCCCTCTCCTCAGGACAGGATCAAATGAATCCGACTTCCGCTGCAAAAAAATTGAGGCTGAAGCGGCCCGTGTCCAGGTACTGGAAAAGCCGCCAAAGGCGCCTCTGCAGTTCAGACTGGCTTGCGGCAGCCAAGCGGTTGACGGCTAAACAGCTTGGGGCTTCTGCCGAAGCAGCAGCTGTTCTGCCAGCTTGTTGCTTTGCTTCCTTGCCGGCACGCCGTCTGCATAGCCCCCAGCTATCTCGCAGATTGACAAAGAACCCTGAAGAACCAGCCGCTGTCCTGCAAAGCTTGAGCACACGCGGAATCAGCTTTGTCACCTGGTCGAAACTCTTGGCATCTCAAGCAATGAAATAGCTTTTGCACAAAAACTTATCTGTCGGAAACACTTTCTACAGTGTGTGTGCTTGAACCGCTCTGCAATTTTGAGGCCTGGAACTATCTATTGTACAAAAGATGCTGATTGCAGCCTGGCTTCTCGGGCCACTCGTCCTATTCTAGCTATCCTCGCTATTCTC